GTTAAGCGTCAGTGCTCGGTTTTTATCGTGCTCTGCGTTGGCATTACGAGTGTTGCACACAAAGCAGCCTTGAGTGCAGCTCCATTATTGCGCCACTTCTTGTTATACCCTGTTTCAGGGAGTGTAAGAGAGTATATAGGCATCTAAGTCTTGCTGTGCGTTTATCTGTTCGCAACTAGTTGCCTCATAATTGGAGAATATGTATTAGAATATTTAACTGAATAAAAACCCGACAGATTCGAGCTTTCGAGTATCGAGTTAAGTTTAAGTAAATGATTCACCAAACCCGAAGACATTCATGCAAACGAAGTTCGTTCGGTTCGAGTCAGCAACATGTTCGAGCTCGAACGCAACCAGTTCGAATGAACGCTCGACTCAATATCCTGTTTGCAACTCGAACAGCTCGAGCCAAAGAAATTGAAGCATTGATTCGTGCGACTCAAATAGTTGTGCGAGTATCTGATTCGCCTCTTCTAAAGTTACAGCTTGAATGAAATTGAACTTGACTTACAGTCTTAGAGTCTTTTCAGCTTTGATTGGAATTGTGAGCAGAGTATGGCGCAGTCGGGTTGACCGATGGCAACATTCTCGCTGCTTATTTTACCCCTTTCCTGTTTGTGGTTGTTGTTGAAGTGACAAATGTGCTTTTGATGACATTTTGAATGGCATCTTCGTGTTGAATTGCCATGTCGGCAATGTAATCTTTAAGAAGCTCTTCTTTCTATCAATACAACCTGTTCGCAAACCTGTGTTCAATTTCCCAAAACATATGCCAAAAATAACAGGCAGAAAATACAAAAATTGATTGCATATAAAAAAAAGGGGGAAATTCGTGGGTGGAAAGCGCCTGACATTTGTTTTTTTGCAAAACAAACAGCACAAGCAAAAATTACACGCATCGCCAAAAGTTTTAAGGAGCATCCCGGGCGAGGGAGAATAATAAAAAACATATTTATGCCCCACGCCCATTCAAAAGAAATGTCAACAACAGCCATATTTTCCTTTTATTTTATTTCCTCTTTTTCCCCTACTTTTGTTGTTGTTGTTTCTTGTGAAATCTTTGGCAAAAAAAATGAATTCAAGTTTCCAGTCTTGAGTTGCTTTAAAATGTAAAGCGAAGCGGACGATGACAACAATGCAAAGTTCACTTCAGGAATTCACAATTGTTCATGTTGTTTCACTTGTTGTTGTTGTCGTTGTTGTTGTTGTTGTTGCACAGCTGGTGTCTTGTGTGTGTGTGTGTGTGTGTGCCTTGCGTAGGCCTAGTAGATTTAATTAAAATTTTATATAGAAAAACATGGCAAAGGTTGCGCTCAACTTTTGCTCTGTCTCTCCCCTCTCTCTCTCTCCCCTCTCTCTCTCTCTCTGTCTCTAGCTCCCTCTCTCTCTCTCTCTGTCTAGCTCCCTCTCTCGCTTCCAGTCTGAGGTAAATTAAATTAATTCTTCTTGCCCTTACAAGAGTTTTTCTCTTTGAAGGCGATTTTCAGCTATAAAACACATTTAAAGCAAATTTCAATTATCTGTCGCTGAGTCAACAACTATTATAATAATAATAATCACAATCAAAATATTAATAATAATAAAAATATATTATAATTAATCTTGCCTTCGCGCTTAGCTTAACATAAGATAAATAAAATAACTTTGCTAACCAGATATATTTAATCCTTCAGGAAGCTAATCGTACTTGTAGTTGGAATATCGTGGCTATATTACGCCCGATATTTGAATGATATAGCTCTTTGGATTTATATATATAATAAACTTGGTCATACTGTATCATAGATATAGTCCTGGTGAACCCAAAGAGACGAAGTCATGAAAATGTGTATCTGTATAGGCTTTTCCTTTACGAGTCTAAGAACGTATGCCATTCGAAAATCGGACTGTATTTACCCGAGATATTTCAATTCTAATATTTTCGAAAAACTAAGAAAGATTGGGCTTGTTGAGCTCGTAGAGGTACGTGTATATTGAATGCTGGTTGAAAGTCGGGATCTGTACGAGTCTAAAAAAGTATGAATATAATATATATATATCCGAATTGGAAAATGCTGAAGAACTTCAAATAAATATAATATGCAGTATGAAGCGGCTTCTGTAACTTTTATGGGGCGTACAAAAGTATGCTATGGATTATGATTAATTTATTAGTAAGAGGCACAAGTTTTCTGCTCAGCACAAAAGTATGCAATGATTTGTGAAGTCAATTAGTTTCAGCGCATTAATTGCCAAGCCGAAGAGTATGCTGTACAATATATTAAAGCAGATCAGCAGAAATGGTATTTTGAATAATTTCCTTTGGGAAATATATACATATATTTTGTCAAATTGGCAGCACTTGCTGTGTTGTTAAGATAAATTTCCTGTAGGGAATTTGTGCAACATTCTAACAAATGGATTAATTGAAAACTATCAAGAACAGATTATTAAACATAAAGTTTGAAGTGACAATAAACTAACAAGTTAATAAGTTAAGTTTTAAAATGTGTTGCACATGGTTTGCTTAATTTTGTCAGAATTACAGCTAACCCTTTCGCCAGTCCATTTAATGCCAGTTAAATTTTAAACTACTTGAAATATTCTGTTTATTTTGCAGGATAATAATAAAAGCGGCAGCTGATGCAAATTTGCAGCCTGAAATGCATTTATAGCTCTGGCGAAATATTTCCATAACAACTTTTGAAAAAAAGAAAAGCCAAATAAAACGAATTAGCATGCGGCCGTTGAGTGTGCTTGACTTGCAGTTACCCTTCAGCTAGTTGCATGCCAGCGTTGCCAGATGGTCGTAGTTTTGACTAGAGATGAGCGAAATAGTTATGGGAACAGTCACGATATATGTCAGTCACAGTGACTAGATCACAGTTACGATGATCTTTTGCTGAACATAGAATATCCTTATATAACTCCTTCGTCGGACTGTATGGGGCATATACCCTGCCCATTGTTAATGAAATGGGGTATACACACTTTGGGAAAGCCTTTCTCTTGATTTCAGGGACTTTTTTCAAATTTTGTCTGCCTACATGGGTCTTACAATCCCGAATTTCTTGATCCTTGGAACGCAGTCTGCTGCTGCACACCAATATACCCCGCCCAATGTTAATGAAAAGGCGGGTAACTGACACTCTGGGAATGCTTATGTTTGCTCGGCAACATGACGAGCATAAATACAATGCTAAACGAGCTTCCAATTTGCATATGCACATGTAAACCTCTTGTAATTTGCCAGGTAACCAGGTAACCAGGTAACCAGGTAACTGGCGCCTCGGCTGCCTCGTGAGGACACAACAAATTGCCAGCCAGCCAGCGAGACAAGGCCCAGCACAGACACACAAACACACACACACACACACACACGGAGAGCTCCTCAAATGCAGATACACGGGCTGCAGTTAAAGTTGCAGCTCGTGGCATCTGCTCGAGATTCGGCCAAACTATTTTCAATTTGCCTCAATTGGCTGAGCTGGCGCCACTTATACTCTTTTATTATACCCAGAACCCATTAAACATGGGTAAAAAGGGAATTATTTTTGCAAATGTATGTCACAGGCAAAAGGAAGCATCTCCGACCGCAAAAGGTATATATATTCTTGATCAGCATCAACAGCCGAGTCGATCTAGCCAAGTCCGTCTGTCTGTCCGCATGTATGAACGCAAGGATCTCGTAACCTATAAGAGCTAGAGACTTGAAATTGTAGCTGTAGGTCCTCCTAGTGCCCGCGCAGATCGAGTTTGTTTCCGATATTCGATAACTTTCCCCGTTTCCAAGTTATCGATAACAAATAATATGAGCTAGAGTCACCAAACTTGACATGTAGCTTCTAGAATAGTTTATATATATCAAGTATCTTTCATTTCATACCTATCGCCTGTCGGAAGAAGAGGGTTCAGGGTATCCCCTAGTCGGTAGCTCCCGACTAGAACCCTCTTATTTGTTTTTATTTCTAGTTTTTTCGCAAGTAATTAACACCTTGGCATGCATAATCGAAACTGTCAAAGTTGCACGCTGAACGCTGACAGCTGATTGCAACAAATTGCATTTGCCAGCCAACTTAATTAGATCACGTTGCAGTTGCAATTAGACAGCAGCTGCTGCTCGACAGGTTCTCAGGTGCACAGGTAGGAATTGCTTTAAAGCAGCTGCTTTAATGGCAAAACTGAATTGGCTGCTGCACTTAGCATGTGAATTGCAACAGACAAACAGACAGAGAGGGAGAGAGAGGGGAAGGAGGGAGAGAGGGAGAGAGAGTCGGGCTTCTTAGCTCCTGATGCACAAAGCGTTTGCTGTCTGAGGGTTTTCTTTTTTTTCGAAATACGTTTTGCCTATACATTTTTGCTACTCTACTTCTCTGGCATTCGTGTGCAGCCAGCTGTGTGTGTGTGCGAGTGAGTGTGTGTGTGTGTGTGTCCAATAATGTTGTGTGATTATGCCCTGTAATAAGTGAAGTGGGGCATGCCAGGTTGTAAGCTAAAAGAAACTGCTCTAACTTGCCACAGTCCAGTTGATTCGTTGCTTAATATCTGGTTCGAAAATATTTTCCAGGGTATTTGTCAAGCCGTGCTACGTATTTGTGTGCTGGCAATTGTGCACACATCGATAAGTTGAACAGATCTGCGAATGCAGCTGCATCCTTTTGGCTCAATGTTTGCGAGCATATTCATGCGAGCACGTGCACAGATTATGATTACATTGATACAGTCGAAACACACACACACACACACACACACACACACGCACATACTGTTTGTAGTTTATGGCAATTTGTGTGGCTAATGGGAATATGCGAAGGCTGTACAGGTTAACAGCTGGGCTCAAAAATGCCTCGTTGTTGTTGTTGCTTAATGCTGATTTTGCAATTTGGCAATTATCATAGGATAATATAAACACAAAACACAAACATAAGCACAAAAGATAATATTGCACATGCCCCACGGCAAAAAAAAAAACTTCTTTAACTTTCGAGATTTTCAACATATATTTCGCCTTCTGTTTGCAGGGCTACGGCGGAAACGGAAGTCTAAAGTTGCTGCTGGCGGAAGCTTAAGCTGTTTGCCAGTGCTGCCAATGAGCTGAAAAACAAATTGATAGCGGAAGTGAGAACAGCCCCAGCCCCAGCTCCAGCTCCAGCTCCAGCTCCAGCTCAAGTGCATATATATATACCTGGATAATGCCGAAATTCAAGTTGAAGTTCAATTCTAGAATTTAGACACAAAAAGCGAAAGCAAATTGAGATTTTTACAGCGCTAACAAGAGATCAACTTGTACAACTTATTTAACTGCGAGCGATTTGTAAACCGGAAGTAGCCAAACATCGCAGCACCAGTAAAAGAAGAAGAAGACAAACAGAAAATGGCGGATCTGGAACGCATACGACTCGTGCTGCTGGGCGGCGCGGGCGTCGGCAAGAGCTCGATTGTGAAGCGTTTCCTATTCAAGAGCTACACGGACAAATACCGCGCCACCGTCGAGGATCTCTACAATCGCGAATATGACCTCGGCGGCGTCACGCTAAAGGTGAGTGCAACACCTCAGGGGCAAGCTTTTAGTGGCAAGTTCGCATACAATGCCAATTGTATGGGAGAGTGTCTGTGTGTGTGAGTGTGTTAAGTTGCTTGCCACCAAATGTGGCAGCAATTGATGCTGCTTGCAACACAGTTAACAAAGTAAACGTATTAGTTGTTGCTTTTTATAGCTGTTAAAGGGTATCTTCATTTTGGCATTAAATGTGTTTAGATATATTTATATGCTCTTGATGCTGATCAGAAATACATTAATGGATATATATATATATATTTGTATATACATTCCTGATCAGCATCAAGAGCAGAGTCCATCTAGCTCATGCTTTTAAAGCTAGTTGCATGCAACTTTGCCTAGGTTTTGGTCTTTCTAATGCAGACATATGTTGCATATATATGTTGCATATATGTCGCATATATATGTTGCATATATATGTTTCATATATGATGCATATATGTTGCACATGTGTAGCATATATGTTGCATATATGTTGCACATATATTACATATATGTTTCACATATGTTGCACATATGTTACATATTGTATGTTGCACATATGTTGCATATTGTATGTTGCACTTGACCGGATCGAAGCATTATATCCGAAAGCCAACATAGGCATGATTGGCAAACAATTAAGTTCCTGTTTAAGTTCTTTTAACTTAGATATATACAGATATATAAGTTCTATCTATATCGGACTACTATATCATATAGTTCCATAGGAAAGTTACGATCAAAAAGTGAATTTTTTTTTTTGTAGAAAATTGTTTGCCTTTCAATACATTTATATTATTTTATATATATATATATCTATATATTATTTTATATTTTTTTTACACCAAGCTCAGCTATGCGTCTTGCATTATCTGCATATATGTGGAAAGGGTATTTAATGTTCGGCTTTGCCGCAGCTAAAGCAACTTTCTTACTTGTTTCACTTTGTTTTGATTTTTATTGCTGTTGGCTTAGGCGACTTCCGGGACATTTAAACTCGAATTTTATTGTCTGCTGACTTTCAATTGTTGCTCTCTCTCCGAGTGCACTCGAGTTGCACTTGCACAAAGTAATTGTCTCCCTGTGTGCAAGTGTGTGCGAATGTGTGTGTGAGTGTGTGTGTGTGTGCGTGTGTGTGTGTGTGTGTGAGTGTGTGTGTGTCTGCTGCCAAGCAATTTGAGCCGAGCCACTAATTAAATCAGAAATTGCAGTCAAAGAGCTGCCAAATGAAAGTTGCATATTAGTTGCATGCAACCGCAAGCTGCCGCAAATGTTGCACAATCTGCGCACAGAAAATAAAATAGTCCAAGCTATTGTCCGTATAAAATTTCAATGCCAATTTAAAGTCTGCCGAATTAATTTCATTAAAACCATAAGCGATAATTAATTAATAAGAAAATCGATTCAGCTGAGACAATGTTATGGAAGCTGAAAAATTTAAGCCCAACTCTGCTTGGAATTAGAATAAACCTTTCTTTTATGGACGTGGCCTCAATATTGCGCTGTCAGTTTCAATTATTGTACAGAATTTATTTAGAGGCCAAGCCATAAGCAAAAGGCAGCAAATCTTTAAAGGGAACTTTTAAATTTAAGCCCAAGTCTGCTTGGAATAGGGCTAAACCTTCTATTCATGAAGCTGTACCCAAAAGTATTGTGGCCAGTTTTAAATGCAGCATTAAAAGTCAAGCCAAGCCATAGCCAAAAATAAATACCACATTAGACAAAGTATTGAAACTTTTATATATAAGCCCAAGTGTTCTCGGAATTAGGGTAAATATTTGATCATGAATCTAGACCAAAAAGTATTTTAGCCAGTTTTTAATGCAGAATGAATATAGAAGCCAAGCCATAGCCAAAAATATATTCCACATGCAATTCTATTCAGTTTAGACAAAGTATTGGAACTTTTAAATTTAAGCCCAATACTACTTGGAAAAGGGCTAAACCTTCTATTCATGAAGCTGTACCCAAAAGTATTGTGGCCAGATTGAAATGCAGCTTGAATATAGCTACCAAATTGAGTCCAACAAGCTGCAATGCCACCAAATCTTTTCAGCTTGTAGCCAGTTAAAGCACTTGGAGAATCTAGCTAGAAAACGGGCTCAACTTGTATTGAATATGCGGCACATGCATTAAATATTTAAATTGAAAGCAAATTGAGCGCATGTAAAGTGAAGTAGATAATGGTTTAAAACACATAGTTTAGCCTGCGGCCACAGCGAGTCGAGGCTGGAGCCAAGCTGGAGCCCAACTGGAGTCTAGTTGGAGTCTAGGCTGGAGCTTAGCTGGGGCTTAGCTCGACGCGGGCAAAACTCATTAATCAAATTTACACGCTACGCCTCAAAAGCTGTGGCTGCTGCTAAATTTGAGACATGCACACACACCATGTTTATGCTTGCCTGCCTGCCTGCCACGCCCACCTCAGCCGTCACGCCCCTTTGATGGGGGCATCATTCTGGCTTGCCGTAAGAGCTGATTATTTGCTGCTTCGTAAGTTGGCCCCGCGTCACCGCAGAAAGTTGTAACAAAAAGTTGATTAATAGGTGATGCTGCTGCTGCACTTCCCCTCATCCCTCTTTATCCCTCCCCTACCCCTCCCCCTCCCCCTCTCTTCTTTCCGGTTGCCATGGCCAAATTGATGTTGACTAAACTGCGTTGAGGGCGACATTGACACTCTTCGTGCGGCATCATCATCGACAATATCATCAGCGTCAGCATTTTTCTTTTAATTAATTTCATTTTAACGCCGGGCAACCGGACCGGCTGCCTGCCTGGAGGGGCGGCTGTGGGCGTGGCCGTGCAACAAAACTTTCTGTTGTTGTTAGTTAAAAGTCGAAATGCCCGAATTTCCGAATGCCACGAATTTGATTGAATTTTCACAGCCGCAGGCAGCAGCCAGCTTTGTCTGGCTTTAAGGCAGCTGATAAAACAAGGGGAATGCCTGAGAGTGCCTGACTTGCAGATACCCTGTTGTGCGGCTTTTGCTGAGCCTTATATGGCTCTAAGTTGGGTATTTCCAGTTCTTAGATTCCTCGAGATATGGTAAAGCATGCCAGACCTGAGGCTAATCCTCGCTGCATTCAGTTTAGGTTTGAAAAGTATCTATATCTATATATAGCCTCCAAAAATGAATAAAAAATAGATGCTCAAAATCGTTGCATATCGTTGACAAGCAAATTTATTGACAATTATATAGATAATATAGATCTATTTTTGCATTAGCTGCCTTCCGCTTTGCTAGTCCTCGAGATGGGCGTGTCCAAAGGGACAGAAAGACAAAAAGAGAGACCTGACTATAACGACTCGATTGTTGGTTATGTTTTTCGAATATATATACAATCCTTTTGTAAAACTAAAACTCCATTATAGCCTCTAATTCAGCCGCCAGTTTTACCAAACTTTCTGATGGGCGGATGCATAGGGATATAGACAGAGAGACTTGGCTATAACGACACGACTGTTAATTACGATCAAGAATATGTATGACAATGTATGACAGCCGGACAGACGGACAGACAGATAAAAGAAAGAGACCTGACTAATAGTCCATATATATTCGTTAGCATAAAAAACACTCGAGTCGTAATGTGTTTTTTTATGCTCACGTATATATAACTTCCAATTTTCTATACCGCAACTCGATTTAAGTTGCGTCTATCAGTCTATCTGATGGGCGTCTCTATGAGGATAGACAGAAAGACAGACGGACAGGTAGAAAGATAGGTAGACAGACATTTAGGCATATCTATAGCGACTTGTCTATTGATTAAGAATATAAATATATATTATGATGAAGAATATCTATGACTATGTATGACAGGGGGACAGACCGAGAGACAGATTGATCAAGAATATATATAACCCGCTGCTGCATATGCACAACTCATTAAGTCTCTTCTGCTTTAAACGTCTTTGTGTAGGCGTGTCCATAAAGATAGACAGAAAAACAGACGGACAGACAGACAGGTAGACAGACATTCAGACATATCTATACCGACTTGTCCATTGATTCTGATTAAGAATATATATATATATATATATGATCAAGAATATGTATGACTATGTATGACAGATGGACAGACGGACAGACCGACAGGCAGACACGATTATAACACCTCGTCTATTGATGCTGATCAAGAATATATATGACCCCCGATTGCATACACACAATTCCCTTACACTCCCTTTTTCATCCTCCAGCTTTAGGGACACACACACACACACAGACAGACCTGACTATAACGACTCGTCTATTGATTCTCATCACGTATATATATACCCCCCCCCCCTCCACCGACCCCTTCGCATTCGCACAACCGCAGTAAAGCCGCCATTTCATGCATTTGCCATAGACTTGCCCAATTTATTACGCATACGCCGCGTAGACAGCGCAGTTGAAATTGTCGCAGCAGCTGCGTGCAATCAACTTGGCGAAAAGTAGTTTACGTCTACTAAAACGAAACACGAATCGGCACATTAGGGCCATGTTTAACAGATTGTTCCTGTTGTTCCTGTTGTTGCCGCGTTTAACATTTGTGGCCACAAAGAGCGCGGCCTTAATGGCAATTCGGTGCCAGCACAGCTGGAACAAGTAAGGCCTTGGCCAAAAACCATGTTTTGGCCCCATTGTTGTCGCACGTCGCCATTTTCGCGCATTTTATAATAAACTTACTTTTGGCCAGCAATCGCTGCTGCGGCTGTTGCAACAATGCGCTACAAATTGCCGAACAATGGCCGCCGGGCAGACAATGGCTGAGCTCTCCGGGTCCGGGTCCGGCTGTCCGTATTCGTGTCCCGATTTGTGTCTACTCGATGTCGCTAAATGCTCGGCTTTGGCATATGCTGTTGACATTGCGGCCAGCTGCCTGTCTGTCTCTCTCTCCGTCTCTCTCTCCTGTCTGTCTGGCGAACAATGCTCTCTTTATGCCGACACTTGGGATTAGTTGGCATCAAGCGAGCAGCAGCTGAACCCTGCTCAGCCCAGTTGAAATTTTCAATTCAAATTGCCTAATACCTGCTTTTTATTACCATTTTTATATTTACCGTTGCCAAAGCCGCTTAAGGCCTTAACAAAATAAGAAGATATATACCCAAAAAATGCAAATTGAGCTTTGAATATGCGCAAAAGCCTTTCAATAGATATCATACAAAAATATTTCAACTAGACTATGTTTTTGCAAGTTTGTGTATGTACACGAAAAACCAAGCCGAAGTTTAAATACACTTGCAAAGAGATACAATTTTATTTGAATTTAATTAATAGATATTCAAATATTTTGTAACGATAGTTTGAGTTGGGTTTGGGTTTAGCTGCGATACACAGATATATTGATGCGATTCTCTAATCTCTTAGAGTCAAACAAAGGTTCAATTGAAGACTTGGAAAAATATATATAATAATATCCCACAAAAGATCAATGCAAGACTTGGAAGAAGATGTATATAACTTTTCTTGTCCCAGTTGTTCCAGTTGCAGTCACTACAAAAGATTTATCCAAGACTTGAAGGTAGATATATATGTGTCGTTAAATATATAAAAATACCTTGCAAAGGATTAATCCAAGACTTGGAAGAAGATTTATACATCTAACCGTGTCGCATTTGCATAGCATATTATATAATTATATCCCGCAAAAGATTAATCCAAGACTTGGAAGAAGATGTCTATAACAATTCTTCTCGCTGTTATCGCACTCGCATTTGATGCCAATTATATAATAATACCCTACAAAAGATTAATCCAAGACTTGGAAGTAGATATATGTATGTATATACCTATCCGTGTCGCATTCGCATAATATATAATATTAGCCCACAAGAGATCAATCAAAGACTTGGAAGTAGATATATGTAACTATTCTTCTCGCAGTTATCGCAGTCACATTTGATGCCAAATATATAATAATACCTCACAAAAGATCATTCCAAAACTTAGAAGAAGATATATATATACCTATCCGTGTCGCACTCGCATTTGATGCCAATTATATAATAATACCCTACAAAAGATTAATCCAAGACTTGGAAGCAGAATTATACATCTAACCGTGTCGCATTTGAATAACATATTATTAAATAATACCCCACAAAAGATCAATCCAAGACTTGGCAGAAGATATATATAACTATTTCTGTTCCAATAATTCCTGTCACATTTGATGCCACATATCAAATAGTACCCCATTGCAAAGGGCATCATAAACAAGGAAAGACACACAAATATGAAATATTTGCAGTTGTGCGTTTTTAAAGCTGTTTCCATTTAAGACATGAAATGAAATGTTGCTGCTGCTGCTGCCAAATTGGAAAATGGGCTTACGGAAAAACCTATTTATTATTTACTTTTCTTTATTTCGCACTTTATTTGAGTTTTTGATCAAATCCAATTTCTGATGCAGTTTTATAATCAATTTAGTATCAATTGCAGTCAGTTTTTTTTTTCGGTTTGCAATCGGAGAGCAAGAAATCAATTTATGTCGCAAATAAATGAAGTTGACTGAAATTTAGTTTTAAAATTAAATTTTGCTGCTTTTCGAAAAAAATGTGCTTTAGCAAAAATGTGTTTAACCGCGCACAACGCGGCGTATGCGTGACACAATTTGCAAAATCACGCATACGCCGCGTAATACAATATGTTTTGGCCGCTTTGCCTTTGTTTGACGCGCGCGCGCATTTAATTAAACGCGGCTGCTTTGTGTTCTGCATACCTTAACTTGTTATTGTTGTTGTTGTTGTTTGGCAGGTGGACATTTTGGACACATCCGGCGACATGCAATTCCCCGCGATGCGACGCCTCTCCATTGCAACGGCGCACGCCTTCATGCTGGTCTATGCAACAACATCGGCGCCCAGCTTTCAGTGTGTCAAGCAATGCTTCGAGGAGATTCGCGAGCAGCGCGCCGACTTTCAGGTGAGACCAAGTCCCCACCTGTACTCCCCCCCCCCCATCCCTGGCCTTTGCATTTTGCATGCAATTAACGCAGCTGAAGCAGGCATAAAATATATGAAAAGAATGAATCCCACATGTAACCCAATTTCAATGCCCCAAAGCAATTAAAAGTACACAAAAATGAAATAGGAAAATAACCAAAAAAAAAACAAGTTTGAGAACTTGGCCAAAAGTCTTTTGAGCGAGTTTTTGTTGTTGTTTTTGCTTATGCCTGGCGCTGGCATTGTGCGTGTCAATTATAGCCGCGTCTCTTTTGTGGCAGGCAGGCTTAGCCTAATTCTTTATCTCTTGTCTATTCACAGGATATACCCATTGTTATTGCCGGCAACAAGGCCGACTTGGCGACCACCCACCGGGAGGTGCGGCAGGAGGAGGTCACAGATTGGGTCTTTTGCGAATTGCCACGCCTCAGGTGAGTTTGACACGCCCACGGATATCTCTAGTTTACCAATGCCAATGTCAATGATATTGCTTTAATTATCCCTTCGGAATGGCAACAAAATGCAAATGTCAGTTCATTTAAATGCGGCAACAACAGCTGTAGCTGCAATTGGGGCAAGTGCGAGCAAATGGCCAAAGTTGTGCAATGAAAAACCTAAAATTAAAAGCGTAACAAAAGCCGCAAAATAGCCATTTTGATACCCTGTAATCAGTGTAGCAAGGCATTTGCAACAGGCAGTCGTAACAGACCCCCAAGAACAAGATAAGCCATATTTAATTTATGGGTTAATCATAGAGTATATATCTTACGCCTATTTAACTTTCTGCGTGCCTTTCTCTGCGCTTCTCATATGAATTTCAACTTTAAGTCCTAATATAACATAAAGTTCTTAAGCAGGAAATTTATTTAAGTATGAATTATAAAGAGCAAGAGAAATCATATTGTTACTCATATAGTAGACAATCCATGGCTTTTTGTGCGCCCTTCTCTGCGCTTCTCAAAAGAATTTAAATTTGAAGTCCTCAACTAATAATCGAATTTTAAACAGGGACTTTATTTAAGAATAAATTCTAAAGAGCAAGGGAAAACATATTATTACTCGTTTAGTAAGCAATCCATGATAATTTTACTCTTCACGCGCCTTTCTCTGCGCTTCTCATAACAGTTAAAATTTGATTATCAAGTTTAAGTGCTAATATAATAATCGTATCTTAAACAGGGAATTTATTTGAGAATAAATTATTAAGTATTCATATAAGCAGGGTATCTCTTAAGTCGTTCGACTCTCTGACACTTTGGTCCTAACTAATGGGCAGCAATAAGCGCAATAAAAATGTGCAATAAATTTCTGTTGGCTAAAAACAAATGTGGGCGACACAGCAACATGGCCAGAACCTTGCTAACCCGAACCGAACAGCAGTTGCCGACAAATGCAATTAAATGCAACAAATGAAATTAAGCGACAAAAAGCGTGACTCCCCTCCCCTCCCCTTCCCCCAGCTGAAGAGGGCGGAATGGCGGATGAGAGCAGCTACCAAAATCAGTTGCCAATTGTCCCCAGCTGGAATATGCTGTGCTGTGCTGTGCTGTGCTGTGCTGCACACCCTAATATAGTATAGAGTATAGAGTAAAGAGTATACAGCCTAATTGCCACAGTCGCAGCTGGTGTCTGTCTGTGACCAATTTGAATTGATATTCCCCATCCGGCAAGGACGTTCAATGCACTCGACTCGGCTCGCATGGCGTGCTTTGCATGCTAAGCAGCTCCTAAACGGAGACAAGGCTCCTCGACGGAGACAGAGCTGCATTCAAATGCCATTTAAATTGGTTCCTTTGCACAATTTGCTGCGGTTCGACATGCAATATTTAACTGGAAAGTGTTTCAAGTCATGTACTAGGTGCTATCCTTATGCAGCTTTTGTACCTAATTAATTCTCTAATTAAATGCTGCTTTTACAGGGTATTAAAATATGCGATGAATGCCTTACACTTTACTTGCTCGGCATTTTGGTTGCTCTAGCAGCTGTGAGTATAAGAAGGAGTCAGACTTTCAGACGTCTCTATTTAACAACTCTGTGCTGCAGTTTTCTAAAAAAGACATACTCTAAATATATAAACAGTCTGGCAACTCTGTCAGTGGCTAGTCTGGCTAATTTGACGACTTTAAAGGCAAAAAATCACTTATAAAATTGATTAGAGCTCTGCTACTGACGATTTCAAAGGTCTGGCAACTCTGTCAGTGGCTAGTCTGGCTAATTTGACGACTTTAAAGGCAAAATCACATACATATAATTAATTAGAGACTAGCTCTTAATGCTCTGAACAGTCTGGCTACTTGAAAAATCCTATTTATCGATTTTAAAGACAAAATCGCATTCATAAAATTGATCAGAGCTTCGCTCGAAAAGATCTCAAAAGTCTGGCAACTCTGTCACTGGCTAGTGTTGTTAATTTGACGACATTAAAGGCGAAATCGTATATAAGGAGCAAGACTTAAGCAGATTATAAAAGTCTGGCAACTCCACAAGCCGTATTTATCGATACTAAACATCGAATATGTTAGCTCTAGAAGATTTCGAAAGTCTGGCTACCTTTAAAATCTAATTTATCGGCTCTTAAGGCAAAATCTTATTTATAAAACTCATCAGAGACTAGCTTGAAAAGATTTCAAAAGTCTGGCAACTCTGTGACTGGATAGTCTGACTAATTTATTGACTGCAAAGTCAAAATCGCATATATTAAATTGATCAGAGCTAAGCTCGAAAAGCCCTCAAAAGTCTGGCAACTCTGTCACTGAGAAGTCTGGCTAATTTATTGAATCTATAAATTTGCTTCAAGTTATAGAAGTTCGAAGCATATTGACAACATTTCGATACCCTGTTCACGAAACAAAACAGAGTATATTGATTTTGTGCAATGTGCATCTGAGAGAGAAAGAGATAGAGAGAGAGAGAGAGGGAGAGAAATATTCCTTTACTGACCCGCTTTTAGCTGCTTTTACACTGCCAACTGCCAGGTTTCAGCTTGTTTTTAATGTGTTTATGTTTGGGTCTTAAAAAAGAAACATTACAAAAAGCTCAATTTGCGTGACGGCTCAGCCGGCAATTCGTGCAGAACTTGGCTGTTAAACTTGACGCCGCAGCTCAACCCGATTTAAAATGAACTTCCGCACTTTGCTTATTTATTCGCCCTTATGAACAGACGCACACACGCACGCACACGCACACACACGCTCGCACACCTAATTGTGTCCTTAATAAACTGCACGTCCATAAAAATCACTTACAGGCGCACGGTTGTCAGGTCTGGGCATGGATGGGGCGAGTGCCGGGGCAGGTGACTCCGTTTCTGGATCTGGGCAATGTGTTGGCCGCACTTTACCATAATTTTAAGCGCCGCAGGCAACCGAACGGGGCGGGCGGGGCGGGGCGGAGCGGGCACGAGGCGTGACCGGCTCGTGTGGAGGTTTAAGCAAGCGTGTGTAAACTTATTTAAAAAAATATATATAAAATATAAAAACATAAAAAGCACAGAAACACGCAGCGACCGCAGGACTCACAGGACTCATACCTACACTTAGAGAAAAAACAAAGTTTTTAACTTGAGGCATGATTAGGGTAGAATAATCCAAAGTTCACATATTTACATCAACCCAAATACTCAATCGACTCGAACTATTTGAATTTAAGTAGAGAAAGTTCGATCTGCTCTCGAGTAAGCAACATGTTCGAGCTCGAACACAATCGAACATATATGTTCGATCGAACCGAATTTTCGTTCGAGTCGACTGTTTGTCTGCAACTCGAACTAGAGCCGAAAAAAATGGAGTCTTGCTGGTTGAGACGATGCAAGGCTCCAGTTGGAATCAGGTTTGATTCAAAAACTATCTGTTCGGTAAGGGAAATTTCTTAAAAGAACTTCTTTCTCAGCTGAAGAAACTTCGATTTTGTCTGTATTTGGACAAGATTTCTGCTCGGATTGAGCTAAAACTTGCTCGTGTTTTTCGGCTAGTGTAGCCTGTATATAAATATATGCAAAATTATACAAATCTCTGTTGGATTAAACATTTAAGCAGATTGATGATGCGGCTGAAACGCACCTTGAACTTTTCGCCTCTGCCGCAGCTGCTGCTGCTGATACGAGCCCTGCTGCCACATTTCCACTTCACGTGCCAACCTGTGCACTTTTTGTTGCGGCCTCTGCGGTTCGGGTTGGCAGCTTGGGGTTTTTTGCTGTTCGTGGCCCTTAACATGTTGCAGCGCTGGCATGTTGCATGTGCATGTGCATGTGCAACATCGTTGCAATTTGTTGGCGCGTGTCTGTCTGCGGTTAAACGCTCTCGCGCACCTGTCCTGCATACATATGTATATGTATCTCGCTGCGTGCCGCATTCGCAATTGCATAAGTAGTTTATTGTTGCCAAACATAAATAAAACGTTTTTCCCAGTTCACTGACTGTTCAATATAAACAATTCATTTGGCTAACACTATTTGATTTATTGCTATTGCATGCGCTGCATTAACAATTCATATTTCTTTTTTTTTGCAAGCCTTGCATTAGCGCCGCACTTAAAGGGAAAGTATAAATAAACAAGCTTTTTTCTCTATATTTCTCTCTTTTTCAGCCTCGACAGTGGTTTTCAAATCTGTGCTAGCTTTAGCGTTGCCAGATTAATTAATAAATAATAAATGCGGTCACACTCTGCTATGTTTTTAAGCCTTTAAGCGAGCTTGTTAGCAGCTAATATGATTTTCCCATCGAGCAAAATGTTATTTGATTTTATAAAATGCGGTAACACTCAGTTTGTGGCATCTGCAAGTGGCTGATGTTTGCATTTTAATTTGTTTGAAAAATGCGGTCACACTTTGCTATCAGTTTTCAAGAGCTGCAAGTGGCTCATGCGATTTTGCTATTCAGAAAAATGCGGTCACACTAATTAAAAAGTATTAACCAATGCCGGGTAAGACAGTTAGCCCAGCTATAAGCGATAAAGGATAAAAAGTTTGTAGCTTAGCAGCTAATGTGACTCTCCTATAAAGAAAAATGTACATATTTATTTGAAAAATTCGGTAACACTCAGTAAAGTATCTGCAAAGGCTGATATTTGCTTTAGGTTTTTTAAAAAACGCGGTCACGCTGTGCTATCAATTTGAAACACAAATTACTCCAGCTAAATACTCTAAATAAGCTAGTAAACTAGCAACTTAGCAGTTAAAGCCGTTTTTTCATAAAAAAAAATTTAACTTTCTTTCAAAAATGTGGTCACACTTAGTTTATAGTAACTACAAGTGGCTGGCATCTCACAAAGGCCAGCTCAAAACGAATAAAAAAAGCTAGCAAGCTAGCAACTTAGCAGCTAAAGTGATTTTTCCACAAAGAAATATTCAACTTTCTTTTAAAAATGTGGTCACACTCAGTTTACAGTTACTGTAACTAGCTAACATTTCACACAGCCCAGCTTAAAAAGAAAAGAAAAAGCTAGCAAGCTAGCAACTTAGCAGTTAATTTAATTTAGATATGATATGATGAAAAATCTATCTAATTTTTCAAAATGCGGTCACACTCAGCTTAGAGTAACTGCATGTGGCCAGTTTATGAAATTTTATTTTTTTTAGAAACGCAGTCACACTCTGCTATTAATTTAAAACGAAAACTACTCCGGCTAGCAAGCTAACAAACTTAGCAGTAAATGTGATTTTCCCACAAAAACATATTCAACTTTCTTTTAAAAATGTGGTCACACTCAGTTTACAGTTACTGCAAGTGGCTAACATTTCACACAGCTCAGCTCAAAAAGAAACAAGTAAGAGGTTCTAGTCGGGAGCTCCCCCTTATTTAACAAAATTGCTCAAAAAACATGATTTTGATATCGATTTTTATCGATTACTTGGAAACGGGGCAAGTTATCGAATATCGATCTGTATGAGCACTAGGAGGACCTACAGCCAAAATTTCAATACTCTAGCTCTTATAGGTTACGAGATCCTTGCGTTCATACATACGGACCGACGGACAGATGGAGGGACGGACAGACGGATACTCGAAAAATCTCAGTTTTCAGCTGCCACTCGACTGACTCCTGTCAGCGGCTGTTGCTGCTGCTGCTGTCGCTGCTTTTGCTGCCGTTGACAGCGAACCGGCAATTGAGCAACTCGCCGCCTGCTGCGTGTCCGCAATGCTGGCTATATTCATGGTACGACTAATTTAGCCATTTAAACGCTGTTTGCCGCTGGCAGGTTGTTTTTGCCGCCGCCAAAACCCCGCAAGTGCCTTTATCCGCAAAAAGCGCCGTGCCAGCTTTGCTGTTGATGTCTGCCACGAGCATGTTACGAATTGAATATTTTTGTTGCACTTGTCATACCCTGTAACAAGCACACAAAACGGGTAGATAGGCTATAGAGTAGGGTTATGGAGTATATGGCTTAGGCTTTGTGTGCGGTGCGTGTAGCTGGTTTTTTACAAGAGAATTCGAACTGGTTACTTCTCACATTGCTGGTTCAAATCAGCTCGGAATGAAGGCGTTTTGCAGCTCTGTCAATAATATGCTTTGGTAAAAAAAAGACATATATTCGACTGAGACTAGCTTTTTGCTTAATAGTTGGGAATAGAAGCTTTGACAATAGACAGGAAAGAATGCCAACAGAATACCCTGTAATACTAAGTACTAGGGAATAGTTAAGCCACAGCATAGTTGGAATAAATAACCTATTATGACTAGGCACAGGGTATACCACAGTCTTATCAGCTTTTGCAGCTGTTGCGATCTGGGGCCAAAAGGGTTTTAGCATTTCAAGTTGTGCATTTGTTTGCATTTGCGTTAACTTTTTTGTTGCTTTCGTGCGAATTTGCCTAACATTGTGATATTTTCTTTTTGGCCGTGTTTTTGTGCGGCCCAAAAAGTTGCCATATCATGCAAATGTGCGTCATTATTTTGGGGCTGTGCCTAACCCACATGCACACATTACGTATACGCAGCGTGCACATTACGTATACGTAATTTATGCAGCCAGCCCCAAACTTTCAGCATAGTTTCTGGCACTTAACGTTTCTTCTCCTCTCTCTCTTCTCGCTTTTTTTTTCTTTACAGGGCCAAGGTGGTCGAGTGCTCGGCCAAGGAGGACACCAACGTGACCGAACTGTTCAAGACATTGCTCTCCCTGTCCCGCTTCCTGCCTGCGAGCAGCAGCAGCGTCGGCCCGGGCGGACCGGGCGCCGCCAGCGTCGAGCCGGCGCCCAGCGGCTTTAAGCGCCGCTCCTCGGCCTACGTCAGCGCATCGTCCAGTCGCAGTGAGTAGCACAGAAGGAATTTATGAAGCGCTTGTTGATTACACACAAAAATAAGCCACTGTCAAATTGCTTGACTGCAACTAAAGTAAACAAGGTTGTTTTGGTTGGGCGTGGCCGACTAGGCGATACCCTAAAACCAGGTCTGAGTTGTCCTTACAATCATAATAGCTTTCTTTTATACATGCGAGCTGATCCTTTGATCCCTAATCCCATACAATGTCTGGGAATTATGATAAATTCTCGAGTAACTTCGGTGCTTATAGTCCGATTTTTTTGTGAAATATTTAGGACTTTACGCGTAACACAAAATCAAACATGATTCTGCTTCCCTTAGCTCCACACTGTGCATGGAAAATATTAAATCTTGACTAACTTCGGTTCTTATAGTCCGATTTTTATAAAATGTTTTGGAAGAAGAACAACTCACGTGCTCTTGTTTCCTTTAGGTCAACATTTTATATGGAAAATGCATTCTTCATTAACTTCGGAGCTTATAGTCCGATTTTTATGAAATTTTTAGGAAAGTATTCTTAACGGATATATACTATACGAGAAGCTACATGCTAGATCTTGTTCTTATAATCTTCGAGTATTTCGTCGCAAGCCAGAGCTAAAAATCGATATTTATCGATATTATGAAAAGGGAAGAAGATAACGCAAAGAATGATAAATTGGTTCTGCGTTTGGAATAGGAGAATATAATACAAATTTGAAGTCTCTACCTTTTGCAGTTTCCGGGAACGGAACAGACGGACAGGCAAACGAACATGTCTTGATTGACTCGGACCAAGAATATATATATATATATTCGTTATAGGGTCAAGAAACATGATATCCCTTACAAACATTTTCAAGCGGTACAGGGCATAAGAACTGGCAGCTGCTGCAACTTTCGTCAAAGCCGGTAACTGACAACGGAAATTATTTCCAGCTGCCAGTCTGCAGCGAGAAAATGCCTTTGTCTCTCTCTCTCTCTCTCTCCCTCTCCCTCTCCCTCTCTCTCTCTCTCTCTCTCTCTCTCTCTCTCTCTCTCTGTCTGTCTGTGTTGCAGTTGCAAATATCAATTTGCCATTTGATTGCAAAATAAAAGCAACGTCGAGTTGTATCTTATAGTTACCCGTGCACGTATCTTAAATCAGAATCCGAATCGCGTAAAGCTGTCGTAAACAATTACAGACTTAAAATGGATTAAAAATGCGGCCGTAATCAAAGTTGTAATTAATGCGAAATTAAAATGCGAATGCGCTGAAAGTAAATGCAATTATTGCGCAAAATAATATGCCCGTTTCTTTTAATCCACAAGCTCATCAATAATAAGAGCAGCCGCATTAAACGATATGCGATATATATATCTATACCCTGCACCCATTGAAAATGGCTAAAAAGGGTATAATGTATTTGTGCAAATGTTTGTAACAGGCAGAAGGAAGCATCTCCGGCCCCATAAAGTATATACATTCTTGAGCCGAGTCGATCTAGCCATGTCCGTCTGTCTGTCCGTCTATCCGTCCGTTTGTATGAACGCAAGGATCTCGTAACCTATAAGAGCTAGAGACTTGATAATCGATAACTTGTCCCGTTTCCAAGTTATCGATAAAAAATAATATAAGCTAGAGTCACCAAACTTGAAAAGTATATATATCTTTCATTTTATACCTATCGCCTAGTCGGGAGCGCCCGACTAGAAGCTCTTACTTGTTATATATACATTTGTGCTTTAATCCAGGTGATTATAATTTAAATGCAGCATTTTTTCCATGACACCTGCCTCTAGTTAGGCACGAAATCAGCTGCTAATTAGAAAGAAATTGTATTTCTTGCCGTGTGTTTGCGCAACATTGACAAATTGACAAATTGCCGACAATTTGGCTAATTGAGTGTAATTAACATTCCGGCGCCTTACTCTGTATTTGACCCAAATTAATTGTTAAAATTTTCGTTTTGCCAAGTACAACAAAACAAAGGCAAAAGGGATGAGTTTTCGCCAAACAGGGCAAACCCCTTTTTTCCATTATTTATATATCGTGCGGCAGGGCAATAGAAAAAGTGACTCGAAAATGTGTACACAACATGATTTGAGGGAAAGTCACAAAAAGAAAATGTATAAAAATTCAGTTTTCTATTACTTTAACTTGAGATTTCTAATAAAGATACGGAAAAATAAATAAATAGGTTTATTTTGAATTAATAAACGTAATTTCTTTAAAGTCAAATTGTTATTTTTTGTGTTGTGTAAAAACTTTAAATTAAAAAGTGTGTACACAACATGATTTGAGGGAAAGTCACAAAAAGAAAATGTATCAAAAATTCAACTTTTTATTACTTTAACTTGGGATTTTAATATTCAAAAAAATACTGCAAAATATTTTTTTGAATAAAAGTACTTTAAAACTTAATTTCTTTAAAGTCAAATTGTTATTTTTTGTGTTGTGTAAAAACTTTAAATTAAAAAGTGTGTACACAACATTATTTGAGCGAAAGCCACAAAAAGAAAAAGTATAAAAAATGCAGTTTCTTATATAAAAAAATACTGCATAGTAAATATGTAAATAAAAGTACTCTAAAACTTAATTACTTTAAAGTCAAATTTGAAAAAATCAAAAATTGAATAATGCATGAAAAGCGTGCTGAATTCTCATGTCAAGCGCTTTTGGCTTTTGGTTAATCAGATTATCTAAAAAAAAAGTGTGTTCAGTGTTAAACTGTACGCAAATTAATTATGTACATAGTACGTACACCTGCTAATTGGCCTTAAAAGTATTTAATTTCCATTGGCCGGGCGCATTATATCTCATTAAAAACTTCTTGTGCGTGAACTTTCTTTTATGTGTGTGTGTGTGTGTGTGTGTGTGTGTGTGTGTGTGTGTGTTTGTTCGACAAGAAGTTCCCAATTTTTGGTTCTTTTTGCAGGCGCGCCTTTTCACAATATAAATAAACAGTTAATGAATGTTACCGAAATGAGCTCAAAATATAATTAATATAATTTCCGAGGCCCTTGGCCCATTTCCATTTCCATTCCGCCCAATGCCCCCCCCCTCCCCCCCCCCTCAGCTGCTGCTGGCCAATAATTTAATTGTTCGCTGGCGGCATTTGATAACATTTTTTTTATTTTTGATTAGTTTCGCAAAAGTCATTTAAATGAAGTGCAAAGTTGGCCGCCAGCAAACAGAGTCCAATTTAAATGCAATTTAAAGTGTAAAGTGTGTGCGTGTGTGCGTGTGTACAATTTGTATTTGTATATCGCACACATATTAGATGTGAGCCGCAAATTTGTAAATTATTTGCGGTCAAATAGGGACGAGCTTTGTCCAAGCAGACAACGACAACTGCCGCTGACAGCACAACAAACACGGTGTGTGTGTGCGTGTGTGTGTGTGTGTGGGTGTGTGTGTGAATGGTGAAGGTCAAATGTCAAATAGCAGCAAATACTTGTGACAGCTCAATTGACAAAGAAACGTCAGCATCGATGGCACACTAAGCATGTGCACAAGTCACACCAAACCCAACCCCCCCACACACACACCCCCTACACACACACACCCCCAACACACACACACACACACACACACACACTCCCAGCCTAGACACCCAGCCAGGGAGAAATAAAAAAATGCCAGTCCTGCGCCACTAAAAATAAGTCTGAGCAGTTAATCACGCGAATTGAGGCCATGACAGCACGTCAACAGCAACAGCTACAAACAAAAGTTGCTCTCGAGTGTAGCCGACTGCGCCATACCCTGTTAAATAACAGCTGCAAAACAGTTAAGGAATTAACTGGCTTGATTCTTGTGTTGGTGCCTCTAAAACTGTAATATTCGGTGTCTGTCAATCTGTCACTTTAGTAAATATATTTAAATCCAAAACTGTACTTTCATCTCAGTAACTGGTAATGACTCTAAGACTGTAACCCAATCGCTTACAAACTGTCACATTAGTAAATATATTTGAATCTAGCACTATAATCCCAAAATACTTTCAAATACTTTCCACCTTAGTAAATAGAAACGACTCTCAAACTGTAGCCCAATTACTATCAAACTTGCACTGCAGTAAATCTGAATGATCTCCAAACTGTAAGCCCCAAGGCAGTTTCAATCTCACAGTAAATGTAAATGACTCTAAAACTGTAAAACAATGACTTAAATCGTTCAACGTAGTAAATCTAAGTGATTCTTAAACTTTATTCCACAAGGTTGTGACTTTCAATCTTACAATTCAGTAAATGGAAATGACTCTAAAACTTTAACCCTGTGACTTTCAAACTTTCACGTTAGTGTATAATTGAATCTAACTCTGTATTCCTCAAGTGACTTCCAAACCTCAATCTTGGTAAATAAAATCGACTCTAAAACTTTTAACCAGTGACCTTCAAACATTCACTGTCGTAAATTATACAGTTGTGGGATTGAAGAGCATAGTTTCGCCTAAGTTTGAAGAGGAGATAATTAATACTTATTACAAAATGGGAAATATATATCCTTTTGCTTTCCCTAATGGGCTTGAGTGCGAGTGTAAATATAATTCAAGTTAAAAGGCTCTAAAGTTAAAGTTAAAAGTTAAAGCAGAATATGGCCGAAGGAGTAATCGAGCAGATATGTCCTAAAACCAATATACCCGCTGTTAGCTTGTGAACAGGGTAGAGCATGTAATTGCCTTAAAAAACAGCCACACAATGTGGCATATGCAAAAACAAATCGCACGCATTCTGATTTGAGGTGTGTTAGTTGTATGTTTGTGTGTATAGGTGTGCGTGTGTGGCAGCTCAATAGCTTAAGTACGTGAGCGTGTGCGTGTGCCTGTGTGTGTGTGTGTGTGTGTGTGTGTGTGTGTGCTGGCGCATAAAAAACGTCTGGGCGCGTGGGCTGAGCTCAGGCAGCACTTGCCAGCGGACTGTCGCACATGTCTATTACGGACCCAGCCCAGCCAAAAAGGCGCGCCCACATCTACGTCTAGCTCCGTGCCACGCCCCGAACTCCGGGCAACGTTATGTGGCTTGGGAACCGAAGCAACCGCAAGCAGTTTTATTTGCAGGCAGTCAACTGTAACCGTAACTCAATTGAAACTTTAGCAGCATGCCACAGTTGCCACATGCCACATGCCACAGTTGCCGCCTGTATTTGCATCTCGGCTAGGCCCCAAATGTTATTTAACAAAAATCTTAACAACAAGCGAACGCTGCTCATGCTTTCAGCCATTTGCATGCCAAATGGAAACCGCAAAATAAATAAGACGCAAACATAAAGCAGAAATTGTCAGCGGCAAGCCGAACATGTGATACCCTATTATGCACACATATATACACATGTAAACAGTTGTTATGCGGGCAAAGAAGAATAGATTCTATGACAAAGTTATTTGAATGTATGCTTAAAACAATCAATCAATCACAAACTGTTTATATTAGCGGTAAGAATTTTCCAATTTTTTGGTCTTAATTTTTCACTCACTTTAGTAAACATAACTGTTGTAGGAAGTGCAGCTTTCTGCCGTACGGTTAGGCCGGTGTAGTGATCATCAATCAGTCCTTCAATCAGTCAGTCAATCACTTAGTCACATTTTAGAATGTTACATTTGTAACACATTCCAGTATTCTAGGCCTTATGGATAGGTCTGGGCGTCGATCATCAATCAGTCAATCAGTCACCTAATCAGTCAATCAATCAATCAGTCTGATTTTAGAGCTTTTAATTAGTAAGTATATTATACCAGTATTTTATTCCCAACTTTTAGGTATGTGCGTTGATCATCAATCACTTAGTCAATCAATCATAAGTCAATCGGTCAACCAGTCATAATTTAGAGTGTTTCATTTGTGACTCATTCCAGTATTCTAGCTCTTACGATTTGGCCTGACCGTTGATTATCAATCAGCCAGTCAGTCAATCAATCAGTCGATCTATCAATCAGTCAAATTTTAGGGTTTTTCATTTATAACACAGTGTGCGTTGATCATCAATCAATCAGTCAGACTTCGGGAATTGTCACCTGCATTCTGTGCGTTGATCATCAATCAAACTATCAACCAATCAGTCAGTCAATCAAAATACTGGTTTTGACATTTACAACCAACCTCATGAGTAAATTGTGCGACCCTCACAGCAGGAATTGATGTGAAATAAAAATGTAATTTAAATTTCCGTTTGACTCGCGCCACAAATACAGCCGCATATGCACAATTATGACGAGGGGAAAGGGTGGACCGGGGAAACTGCGGGAAATGGGGAAATGGGGGTCTCTCTCCAGTTAGAGACCTGGTACTGCGTACTGCTCGGCATTATTTTCGTATGTGCGCGAGCGGGCTTTGTGCCAGTCAGACAATTTTGTATGCTCTATGCCAGCAAATTGTGCGAACGGGGCTTACATGTGTGAGTGCAGTGTAATAAGCCAAAAAAGCAACACACAGCTCTTGTCTGAGTGTGTGTGCGTGTGTGTGTGTTGGTAACACAGACGACACACAAAACTCGATTTCTCATGATTCTAGCAGTTTTGAGGCATTTTTCGCGCGCTTTGTGTCAGCGACGGCGGCAACAATGGCGTCGGCAGCCATTTTGTTTGCAGTTGACACCACGCACACACACACACGCGCACGCACATTCATGCATATTAGATGAAGTGGAATTATTTTATATGTTTTCCTTAACTGGGCCAATAACTGCTGAAAACCCCTTCGATACAAAGTTAAGTCTTTGTTGGATTTCCATAAAATGCTTGAAACGGAAGTTCCTGCTGCTGTTTAATTTCACATTTTCTTTATCAATTAGGTTTAATGCGCTCGAGGCTTGTGAATAAATCATCATTATGCTAGATTTCACCTTTTGTTCTCGGTGCTCGAATCGCTTTAAATCCATCAAATCCGTTAATCAATATGCGCAACGTAATCTAATCTAATCTAATCATGGCAGCCATCTCTCTCTCTCTCTCTCCCTCTCTCTCTCTCTGTTCCTCTCTCTGTCTCTCCTGGGTTTTCATCCGTTTTTCCAAGAAAATGACGCTCGAAGCAATGCCAACTTGAAAGGTTGTTACGAGCACAATAGATATTTTCTGCGCAACTTTGACTTGGACATTGTCAGCTCGCAGCTTAACGACCTTTTGTCCAAAAAGTTTATAGGAAATTGGTCACAAGTTATTTCTCTGTCAGCACAGCTCAAGTTTGTCAAAATATTATGTTTTTTTAAACAGACACAAAGTTGGTCGAAATGCTGCCGATTATCTGCGTAAAAAAGTCTATCTGGCTTTGAGGTCAGTTCGATCCGACTTTTTTCAGACATTTGTCCTAGCTGCCAGACTTGACATAGATCCGTCTTAAGATTTTAGACGGGGTATATGTTTGAGTGGACCAAGATATCATGTAACCGATATGGGAACGATCGGACGAATATAAGTTCTTGCATGTAAAACTTCTTTGCTTTTCAAGATATCTTAAACAAACTTGGCCTTAACAAGTTTTGCCATGCTCCTTATATATTAAATCATATTAATCTTATTAAATCGGTTCACTCTATTATAAAGCTCTATGGGAAAATTTGGACCTAGATTAAGTCTTGATACGGAAAGTTCTCTCCGTTTCTTAAGATAATTTTGATCAAACTTAGCAAATACGAGCTTTTAGATAGGAACTATTCTGTGAAATAAAGATTTAAGACGGTTTACAGATTTCAGTCCACCTGGATTTTACAGTTTCTATATGAACAATCGAAAGAAAATCTCTGCCCGAGTTTTATAGCTTCTATATGACCCATCGGAAGAAAAGCTCTCTCGCTCAAAGAATCAATTCTAAGCCACATGTCTAAAAAGATATTTCATAGCAACTCTTTCTCAAGCAAACTCAGCCTGCTTTACGATTGGAACTACTCTTCTATATAGCTCCTATATGAACAATCGGTCGGAAAAAAAGATGTCATACACGGTATATTTCACAGGCAACTCTCTCTCAAGCAAACTCGGCAATTACGAGCTTTACTATTGGAACTATTCAGCTTATATAGCTTCCATAGGAATACTAAGTCGGAAAGAAAGCTTTCAATCAATTGTAAGCCACATGACTAGAAGGATATTTAATAGCAGCTCGTTTTCAAGCAAACTCAGCCTGCTTTACGATTGGAACTACTCAGTTTATATAGCTCCTATAGGAACAAACGGTCGAAAAAAAATATAGAATATTTCTAAGCCACATGTCCAGAAGGATTTTTCAAAGCAGAATACTTCTTTCTCAAGCAATCTCAGCAATTACGATATTTTCTATTGGAACTAATCTATTATATAACTCTTATAGGAACAATCGTGGGGAAGAAAAGCTTTCCATCAATTTTTAGCCACTTGTCTAGAAGGTTATTCAAAATCCATTCTTTCTTTTTCTTCAACAAATCTCGGCAACTATAAATCCCAGCCAGGGTATTTAAGCTGCAGCAAATAATTATTTGATGGTTTATCCAGAGGTTGCCATAACTGCATCAGCTTCAGATCCTGATCCTGGCCTTTAGTTAGCGTGTGTTACGGGCAAAAATAATTAACTAAAGGCGCCTTCTTTAAGCTAATCGAGCCGCAGTTCTGTGAATTGCAGTTCCAAAATGAAGCCGCTCGCATAAGTTAATTATGTTGCATGCAACAGTGGCATGGCAAGGAGTGGGGCAAGGGGTTGGGCTTGGGCTCTTTGCAGCTGCCACTTTTGGCATTGTTGCAACAGCGTTGGCAACTGGCAGCTGCCTAATAATTGGGCACAGTTTGTGGCAGTCGCAGTCGCACTCGCATTCGCAATCGTTAACTGGAAATTGGATTTTCGTGTTTCGTATTTATTTGCATTTACGTGGATTTGTGTTACAATTCGCCGGAATTCGCAGGTTGTCAGGCGTGAATCCGTGTTTTAATTAGCCAACTTGTTATAATATTGCTAACAAACTCAACTTTTTGCAGACAAAAACCGCATGAACAGCCCCTCGGTGAGCGGCGACAAGAAGTCGAGTCTCGTGGATGCCGTCGATGTGGCCAGCACCAGCGCCGAGGCCAAACTGAAGCCGCGTTCCAGGTGGGCAAATCGAATCATACAAATAAATAACATACATTGTACTTAACTCTGCTCAAACTTCAAATGAAGCAAGGCTCTTGGCTCTGCCTTGATCTAAGTGAGGGTTTAGTCATTGCCTTTATGCTTCAATAGAATTGAGTGAGAGCTTTAAGGACTTTCATTTTCAAGGCAGATAAACAATAGAAACAGCTGAAGGACGTGTTCTTTGATCTAGACTCAAACTTTGAATAGAATGTTTCAAAAATTATTATCTTAATTTAGAAGAGCTCAAGCTAAAATTTAAAATTACTAAAATTTATAGCAAATATTTCCTATATTTAGACAAATTTTTATTTTATGCAAATTTTTCTTAAAATTTGGAAAATATTTTTCTAAAAATTGGAATAATATTATTTTTAAATTTATTTATTATTTGTTATTATTTGACAATTTTTCTGTGATTTTGACTAATTTTTTTAATATGACAATTTTTCTAAAATTTGGGAATATATTTTTAATAATTTCGACCAGTTTTTATTTTATGTTCAATTTTTCTAAAATTTTGCTTAATATTTTTCCAATTTTCGACAATTTTTTGTATTTTTTGACAATTTTTCTAAAATGCAGAAAATTATTTTTATAAATTTCGACCAATTTTTATTTTATGAAAATTGTTCTAAAATTAAGGAAAATATTTTTCTAAATTTCAACCTAATTTTATTTTATAAAAATTGTTCTAAAATTTAGGAAAATATATTTCTAAATTTCGACAAGTTTTTATTTTATGACAATTTTCCAAAAAGTTTATCCAAATATTTTCTATAAATTTTAGTAATTTTATATTGTGGATAAATTTTTTCTTAAGAAAAATAATAATTTTCTAAAACAAAGAAAATATTTAAATTCATGGCAATATTTTAAATTCAATAAAAAAAATATATTATTATTATTATTATTGATAATAATGCAAATGCCCGTAATTGAAATTGGTATGCAAAAATATGATGAACTCCATTCATGCTAGGATTAAGTATAAAACCATTTTCAACGAATTTTCACTCACCTGACGCACACACACACACACACATGCACACACAAAATTGATTGTGGCTTACTTATAGATCGCTCATACGCCGTGCATCACGCAAGACCAAGCAGCAAATCAACAACGCATCCGACGACTGTAATTTGCAGTAAATTGCCAAAAAAAAAAACTGTGGACGGTAATTTTTAATTTAATAATAATAAAAATAATAATTATAATAATTATAATACTAATGAATGTCAGAGAATGACAGAGCTAACTACTCTGATTAAATTAAATAATTTACAAAAGTTGCTCAATTGCAAATTTAGATGAATGAAGCGTCTCGATTAACTATCAATGCGCGACCCGATTACTTATCGACAACTTATCGACAACTTATCGATAACTTATCGATAATTATATTGTTGTTTACAGCTATAAGTACGAACTTTGCTCAACTGTCCGGCTTTCGATTTAGTTGTGATTCAACATTTGCATGGTTTAAGGGGACCAGTTTTATTTGAAATCATTTTGATAACTCGATAACTTTTCGATAACTTAACGATAACTTTATGGTTGCTTTAAGTATGAACTAAACTCAACCGTCAGCAAGTCCATTTAGTTGGAATGGAATTCAATAACAAGTCCGAAGGGGAGCAGCTTTAGTTGAATTCCCTTTGCTAGGGTATACAGACTTCGGCTATGGGAAAGGGCAGCTTATTGTCATGCCAATTTCTTATTTGTTCACAAATTTAAATAGAAATTTGTTTTTTTTTTTGGGAAATTTGGTATATGAATTATACGAGTGGAAATTGTAGAGTTCCTTTGATGACAGAAAAATGTAGACTAAGTTAATCATGTTTTCGGTTCGGGCTAGACTTAAGTTAGACCTAAGTAGATGTTATTGACAATTTAAATACAGTGTATTCAAATGTTTAAACAAATGCAACAAATTAATTGTCCTAGGTACAAATCTGTGTAGTTTATGTAGTTGAACAAAAACAAAAGAAGAATAATAAAAAATTGAAAAATATTTGTGTATTTGTTATGCGGCAAGTTCTTTTGCCCGCGGCCCACAAAAGCTGACCTTGTTTGTGAACGAAAACGAGCGAAAAGCCAGGAAAATGTTTGAGCAATTTATGGCATTTTCCAGTTTACTCTCTTTTACACTTCTTCAAAAGCAGCAAATGCTGCACAACAATTTATTATGCAAAGTGAGCTGCTAATTAATGTTGCGGGGCGTACATATAAATATGCAGCGCATAGTTTGTGATGTTGTAATTATTTTTATGTATACCCTGAACCTATTTAAAATGGTTAAAAAGGGGATTCTGTATTGTAACAGGCGGAAGGAAGCAGAAGGAAGCAACAGCCGAGTCGATCTAGCCATGTCCGTCCGTCTGTCCGTCCGTCGGTCCGTTTGTATGAACGCAAGGATCTCGTAACCTATAAGAGCTAGAGACTTGAAATTTTGGCTGTAGGTTCTCCTAGTGCCCGCGCAGATTGAGTTTGTTTCCGATATTCGATAACTTGCCCCGTTTCCAAGTAATCGATAAAAATTGACATGTAGCTTCTAGAATAATACATATATATCAAGTATCTTTAATTTCGCCCGTTGAAAGAAGAGGCTTCAGGGTATCTACTAGTCGGGAGCTCCCGTCTAGAACCTTTTACTTGTTTTTTTTTTGCATTTTTGTCCCAATTGCAGTTAAGCGAGATTTGCGCATAATATTCAAAAACATATTCAAGGATAATACAGGGTGCATGCTAATTGCCAAAATTAAGAGCCAATCAAATAAAAATGAAAGAAGAAGAAGAACTTATAAGAATTTTTGCATTAAATATTAGAGCATTAGATGTTATATTCAATAGGCTAACGTCATAATCAATAAATGTTTTTTAAACAGTTTGAAATTAAAAAAAAAGAAAATACATATATATATATTTGATTCCGAGTAAGAATTATTTGATAAACGTTGCAAAGAGTTTGGTAAATGCTATTAAGGGAAATTTGTAAATGAACCAACATAAATACGGCAGATGCAAAGTGAATTGTGATGAAAATAATATTTAAAGCTAATGATTTACTCAATAGTCATAATAGAAATTCCAATCGGATTATACGGAAATGTCAAAAGCCCTTTGGCCGGATTGAGGCCGAGTCGAGAGGCTGAGTCGAGAGGCTGGCGTCCAGTTAAATGTATCTAGGCTAAGGCATGTCTCTAGCATAAGCGCGGTTTATTTAATAAGTGCTAATACTAATACAAATTGTTTATACATTGTTATCAAATGTAGTTAATTGCAAGAGAGAGAGAGAGAGAGAGAGAGAGAGAGAGAGAGAGAGAGAGAGAGAGAGAGAGAGAAGGCATCTAGTTAAATCAGCTAAGAAATATCAGCGACAAATGAGGAACAGTTGCGAGATATATACATATATATATATCTGTATAGCTGTCAGATATGTATACATACAGATATATATACAGATATATATATATCTAGTTATTGTTGTTAAACATTCAAATCAAATTTTGAAATATATATTTGTGTACGTAATTCGATTGTTCATATTAAAACCAAAAAAAACTAAATCAAATGAATTTAACTAGAAGGCCCAAGAAAAATCAATGCCGAGTTACAGTTACTCAAAAAAATATCTACACATATGCAAGACGTGCAAAAGAAATGTACTTAATTTTTAAAATATATCAACAGAAACCAAATAAACTTACTAAATGTGTCCATTTAACTACAGAAACTCAACGCTTTTATTTACTAAATTTACCAGTGCGAAAAAATAAAATTAATTTCACGCAATTTGTTTAAGCGCATAAATAAAGTTAGACCAGGGAAATGTTCATTTAGAATATCAAAGAAAATCTTTAGCACATATATCGCTTTCCGTTTTACTCAATTATAAATTGCTCTAATTATATTTTAATGCCAATGAAATTAATTAGTTGCAGTAGCTGTCATTAAAATGAAGCCAAGGTCTGATCAGCAGCCACATATTGATAAAGTCTGATTGCGCCACATAACAAATTACCTTCATATTATGTTTAGTTGCATTTGCCATCTATGGCTGGCTCTAAATCAATTAAAAGCATCCATTCCAACTGTCCTTTCATTCTCACAATTGTGGGTAAACGGAGTGAAGCGACCGCAGTTGCCATTAAAAGTAACTAATGGAATTTTATTCAAATTAAAAATTGCATTTGCAGGAAAATTCCACAACGCACGCTATGTAAATTGTGAAATGCCATTGCATTTAAATCAATTGAACTTTGAATGCCAAATGTTTAGCTAAACGCGCCAAAAGCTCTGATTTATTCACATGGACATTTGCCATGCGAAATTTGCCAGCTGCTGCGTTGCCATTTTACAACCCACACCAAATGCGTATTTAGACCTAAATATTTCTATGTGTATGCAATACACAATAAACAACTTTGCCAGCGACCCAATTAGCTGAAATTATGCACAATTTCAAATGCAATTTTCTCTGAATTCGATAATGCAGTTCACCCGAAACAAGTAGAAGAGGAAGAGAATGGGCGACAGCTTAATATACAGTAACACGAAAGTTCACTTTTCACAAAATAATTTAAATAAAAGCGCACTTTAATTCAGAAAAGCATGATAATTGCAAAAAAGTAGCAAACTATTTGCGCCTTTCAAATAAAACCGCCAAAGCGGCGCCACCTAGCGGCGTTTGTTCAAAGAATACTCGCCAATACCCGCAAGTGCGCCATCTAGCGGCGTTTGCCTCGCTGCTGTACCGGAAACGCCAAAATACAGTTCAACACGCACAGCTGATAAACCGGCTTTTGGCATTTTTTAGCACATTTTAATGCGTGCAACAAAATATTTGAGAATGGCCCTAAAATACATTGGTAAACACATAAATAAAAAGAAATTCTTTTATATGCAATGCTTAACCGTTCGCAGACATTGGCGCCAATCTAACGGATCCCATGTTTCAGGGCTGCTATGGCGGCTCCACGAAACATCCGGCGGACTTGGACATAGTTTTGGAACGCGCCTGGCAGCACGGATTGCAGAAGCTAATCATCACATCTGGCTGTGTTAAGGATGTGGACGAAGCGCTGCAGCTGACTGCCAAGGATGGCAAGTTGAACTATAGTCAAATAGAGAGCAAAATCTTTATAACTCTTACTTGCAGAGCGGCTGTACACAACGGTAGGCGCTCATCCCACCCGCTGTGGTGAGTTTCTGCCCGATCCGGAGCAGTACTACAGCGATTTGCGCTCCAGAATCAAAGCGAATCCGGAGAAAGTAGTCGCTGTGGGCGAATGCGGCCTGGACTACGATCGCCTGCACTTTTGTGCCAAGGAAACACAGCTGCAGTACTTTGAGAAACAGCTCAGCCTGGCGGCGGAATTTCAATTGCCGCTCTTCCTGCACATGCGAAATGCCCACAAGGATTTCATGGATATACTGGAGCGCAATCGGGAGCAAGTCAAGGCCTGCGGTGGCGGTGTGGTGCACAGCTTCACCGGCACACTGGAGGAGGCCAAGAGCATATTGGCCTTTGGCGGACTCTACATAGGATTGAATGGCTGCTCGCTGAAGACGGCCGAGAATCTGGAGGTGGTGCAACAGCTGCCCAATGACCGCATCATGCTCGAGACGGACTGCCCCTGGTGTGGCATACGGCCGACGCATGCGAGCCACAAGCATGTAACCACAAAGTTTCCCACTGTCAAGAAGAAAGAGAAGTGGACAGCGGAGACTTTGATCGATGGACGCAACGAGCCATGTCAGATTGGGTAAGTCTGAAGTAGAGCACTGAATCATTAACCGAAATACTCGAACTTTCACCAAACAGATTGAGACAAACGAAGTTCGAGTTGCTCGAGTCAATAACATGTTCGAGCTCGAACGCAACTCGAACAGCTCGAGTCGAAAAACTGTGAGACTTGAATACTTCGAGTATTCTTCGGTTGTTGCAGGGCTCTCTAGTCTATCTTAAAGAATGAACTATACTAATTTAAAATTTCAGTCAAGTCTTGGAGGCAATTGCGGGCATCAAACAGCAGCCCAAGGAGCAGCTGGCTGCGATTTACTATCAAAACACGTTGGACTTGTTCTTTAGCGGCGCGAAATGAAATTGGAGTGGAACTTGTACATTTCATTGCTTTTACATTTATTGCATTGTATTATTGTTGTTCGTGTCCTAAATGCAAATGAATTCAAAAATACGCATTACAACTTGTTACTTTTGTTTTTGTCATAGCATTAAAACACACAGAAACACGTTTAAGATTAACATTTAGATTTGTAAATAATTGTTTTGTTAATTAACTTTTTTCTTTTGTCTGAGTATGTGTATATATGTATATATATAGTAGAGATGATCGCCAAAAATATATATGTATGTATGCCCCAATTTCAAATATATGTAGGTATATTTATGTTTGTATTGTATGCATTAAAGACTAGTGGAGTTTTGTAGCTTAGTTATTGCCCTTATTTTTTTTTTTTGGTTACGATAGATCATGCCAAATATCATTTATATAGTAGATATATATATATATTGTTATCGATTACAATTGAAAAGCCTTAAAAAGCGTATATACAAAATATTTTGTAAATATTTAAAAAGTCTGTTAACTAGCCATAGAACATTTTCCGAGCGCATATATATATATATGTCAATATATGTATATATGTAGATCATACCTTCTTCCGTCTAGTATGTAAATGCTATCAACAAGTTGCTTGGAAAGGTTTACTACGTATATATATCTATATAGTGGTAGCATATATTACGAACCAAATACTCTTTTATAAAACGGGCTTTAAAACTGTTTATGTTTAGTATGTTCTATGTAATTATTTTCTGTGTGTAGTTTCGTAACTGATATGAAGTGAAATGATATTTGTAAACTAGATTTGTAGTTTAGCTAAAGAACAGATATCTAGGTTTTGCATTTGAAATGACAGATTTGTTTTGTAGCACAATAAAAGATTCAGTCCAATAGAAATGTTCTAGCTTAATATGCTCGTTTGATATGAACCCGTTCATATATATATATCTATATAGCACACTACGTTTATGTAAAAGGATCCCAAGTGAATCGCCACCAGATAAAACTTTATATTATCTAATTAGGCGTGTACTTAAGATCAAGTTTATAGCATCTATAGTTATTCATAAAAATGTGTAGTTGTAAAAGTTTGTTTTCAAATATGCTCAGACCCTTAAAATTGACTCGCATTTGCCGGATATATATAAGATATAAGTATAAGAAATCAAAAACAAAAGGAATATATAATATATATGTATATAAGTATATATATAGATACGACAATTTCATTTATTGGGCGTCATATTAGTTGGTTGTATTAGTTAAATTATTGGTATTTACACAAACAAGAGGAAATTATAAATAATATTAATTAATTAAAAGCGCGACAAAACTAAATTCAACTAACAATAAATTCGAGTTTAAATTATAAATAATCCATGAAACTTTTCATACAACATTCAACTTCAATTGTCTTCCAGTTTTTGTTAACTTAAAAAAAAGCATAACTCGCATAAATCTGAATATATGTGTAGTATGTATATATATATATCTTTAGGTATATATGTTTATAGGAAATTAAGAGAAATGCCAATTAGAATCAAATGTGTGTAACTAGAGATTTTTGAAGAACCCTTTTCTGATATTTTTCTCGTATTAATTATATGTATGTGTAGTTAATTTATGTATATATATATATTGTATACGCGTATTTATCAGTTATCATATATCTTTTATCATATGTGTGTACGTGTGTTATATTGTATTTAGTCGAGTTTCTTAGTTTCAAACTAAACTCTGCGTTAACCTGCAATCGAGCAGGCAACGCCGCCTCATAATTATTTTGGGGTGTTTTTTTCATTAGAAATAAATAATATTCGGATTAAAAACATTAATAGATTAATGTATTTTGGGCGCGCTGCGATCGTTGATCTTTTGATTGCGCTTCAAAGTCGCGCCCCGCTTTATTTGATCCATTAGCGACTCGTGACAAATGCGCGGATCCGGCTGCAAGCGTAAAAGGAACAACAATTAGCTATATAGTACATATATATATAAGACATTCATGGAACTAACTATAAGCACGGCTTGCGGATACGGAGAAAAGCTACTATATAAATATACAATTTGTTCATGGATCTATCTATAATCAAAGCTTGAACATATAGAAACAACTATATGTAGAGTTAATGCTCAGCGCGTTTCGGGGGCAGGATATTAGATAAGAACGTAAACAGAACACAAAACACAATTAAACAAAAAATACCTTAACACTGTTCATCACAAGTGCGGTTGGTGTTGGTGTTGGGATAGTTGGGTGGTCTACGATATTGTGCACTGGGTCGGGCTAGATTTTGTGGATTCTGGTACATCTACCAGCCAAATCGTACAGTAATATATATATATTATATATATATATATGGAGTGAGAGAGTGAGGTATATGGAGCAGGTGTGGTAACTTACCAAAGCCTTGCTATTGATCAGATTTCGCACGGCAAATGCACGTCCGGAGATGCCCTGTTTGGCCAGCTTTGCATTGAGATTCTCGAGAAATTCAGCCTTGGTCTTGGCACGTATGCTGCCAGTCTTTTCGATATTGGTGCTGGTGGCATAGTCTAATGATTGATGCGATTGATTCGTTGGTTGATTGATGGTTGACAAAAAAAAGAGAGAGAAGCAAATATGTTTGATAAACGTTTAAAATGGGCAGCAAAAAGTGGCGACAAGTGAGAAATGCTTTAAACAAATTAAGAAAAACATTGCAAATTATAAACAGAAAAATACTTATATGTATTTAAACGAAAGAGACAAAATTGTATAAGACGATCATAAGGCTAACTGCGGCACGCCGAAGTTTAAATACCCTTGCTAAAAATATGGCTTACAATTTTGCAGTTATGTGAGCTATATTGGAAGCCTCATAAGTGCAGAGTTTGCTGGGGATATCTTGAAAAACAGACATTTTTTATATGAAAACAAATTTGTTGAGAGATTTTTCCTATAGAGGTATACGAGGAGCATAGCAGAGCCCAATTTTGGTTAAGATTTCTTGATAACAAATAAAAGGGATAATTTCCATGTCATCTTTATGATATATTGGTCCGATTTTGATTAGATTCTGATCATATGTAAGGAGCACATAGTAAAGCTATTAAATACCGACCTTCTTCAAGATATCTGAATAAACAAAAAAGTTTTGCCTACAATAACTTTATCAATCATTCCTAGGAGAGCTAGAATGTCGTAGCTAAGGGGGAAGTTAGGGAAGTACGGAAGTTTCAAGGCGTCAGCTTCAAGAATGAGAGATTAGATCGCATACAAAACAGACAGACAAACTATATAGATTCGGTTGTGCATACTGATCAAGAATATATTAATGCTTTATGGATTCTGTAATATCTTAAACATTTGGTGACAAAGGTATGAATTAGGCAAACATTTGGAAAGAGTTGATCAAGAGAAGAGGGGTAAGTGCAGTGAGATGCAAATATATATAAAGTTGATGTGAATGTCGGGTCAATGTTTAAGAAATGAGATGAGTTAAGTGATATATATGTTATATATATGCATATTTGTTGTTAGATATATAATTGTGGTTGTTGTTCGGCTCGTCCATTTCCACGCTGATTAATTGTCAACACGCGCATCATATTTAAATGTAATTAACTGCAAAATCCAAATCAAAGTCAAACAAAACACAAACGCAACAAAAGCAACATGCGAAAACATTCGAAAGTCAATCTTTCAGTCAATAAAAAAAATGAAAAATGATTATAAAAAAAAATAAGAATAAAATATCAGCAAAAATTAACGAAAATAAACTGCGCTGCAATCAAATCAAGTCAAATCAAATCAAACGCGCGCTCACTTGAATGATGTGCCTGGACATGAGGCATGTGGGCGTGCGAATGGGCGTGGCCGTGGGCGTGGCCATGGGCATTGTTGTGGGCAGCATAATAAACAGCGCCGCCATTGCTGTTGCCGCCAGCCACATCGCGATAATAATGCTGCTGCTGCTGCTGCAGATGTTGCTGCTGTTGCAAATGTTGCTGCTGCAGATGTTGCTGCTGCTGTTGCTGGTATTGCTGTGCGCTAGCGCCACGTCCCGTTGTGCCATAAATGCTGGCAAAGGTTGCCGTTGCGGGCGAGCCGCAGGTGGGCGAGGCAGCGGGCGTTGTGTGCACCGAGGACGCTGGCGTATGAAACTTGACGGCTGTTGTCTGTATAAATGGATTCGTCGAAACGAATATCTTTTGCTGCACGCTGGAATGGCGCGACGGTATTGGTGGCTGTCGTTGTTGCTGCAGCTGCTGTTGCTGTTGTTGCTGTTGTTGCTGGGGCAGCGGCATTGCTGGTCGCTGATTAGCATGTCCATTGCCAACGGGCTGTTGATATTGTTGCTGCTGCTGCTGTTGCTGCAAGCGCTGCTGTTGCTGCTGTAAACGTTGCTGTTGCAGCATATTTTTGGGCAGCGTGGCGCCCATCACATGATTGCTGCTGCTGCTGCTGTTGCCGTGTGCAACATGTGCGCGTGCCATTTTTTTGGGCATGGTCGCTGAATAAATGGGCGGCGGTGGCGGATCCTCAAGCGGCGGCGGGCAAGTATAATGTTGCTGCTGCTGCTGCTGCTGCTGCTGCAACTGTTGCTGTTGTCGCATGTTAGCTGTTTGCGCAGCTGCTGAATTTTTTATAAACGAATTTGTATAGTTGCCAATGAAATCTTTGCTGTTGTTGCCGCTTGCTGCGGCTTGTATGTTGTTGGCTGTCATTGTTGTTGTTGTTGTGGATGATGAATTTGAAAATGAACTGACTTTAGAGAGCAACGATGATGTGGATGAGGAGAGCGGAAAGTGTGGCAAAGCATTGAATGAACTGGAAGAAACGCTTGCAACTGCAACAGCTGCTGCTGCCCCATTGCTTGAGCACAATGTTGCAGCTGCCGCTGCTGCTGACATGGATGAAGATGGCGATGAAGTTGATGTTGCAGATGAGGTGCCAAAACTAGCGTAAATTCTATGTTGCTGCTGTGCCAGCTTATGTTCAAATTTACCGTCGTGGTGTTGCTGCTGCTGCTGTTGTTGCTGTGTCATGGACAAGCCGCTGCGCAGGTAGATGGACTCGCTGCTCGCGTTGCCGTAAATGCCCTCGGCAACATGTTGCTGCTGTTGCTGCTGCTGCTGTTGCTGCTGCTTGCTGTTGAGTCGTGCATTGAGCTGTGCAATTAGATTCGGATTCGCCTTGGGCTGTGTCGGTGGCAGTGGGTGAGCAGCATGCCCATTTGGGCTGGGGCTGCTGCTGCGAAAGCTGGACATGTTGCTGACCAATTTGGGCTGCGCGTAGATGCCGCCGCCGCCGGCGCCAGGCGATGAGGTGCGGAACGATGACTGTGCGAGATGTGAGTGCATAAAGAAACGAGAAAACAATAGAGCCAATAAATTAATCAAAAAACCAAAGCTAGATGCAGACTAGAACATCTCTGGGCACAGAGTATCTTCCAGTCGAGGCAGCTTTCACTGTCTAGATATGCATGTTAAACTAAGCTATTATTAAAACTAAACTAAGCAGCCGGATTAGAGGAATTAGTGAACTGTTGCGACTCTGTTTTTTCGGTTAGTGACGAGACGCAAACAAATGGGTTGCACTTACGGCATCCAGCTGAGGTGGCGCCTGATATGGAGGCGGCGTTGGTGGCAGCTGTTGCTGCTGCTGCTGTTGATGAAGATGTTGCTGCTGCACAAAGCGTTGCTGCTGCTGGTGATGTTGCTGTTGTGGGTGATTGGAGGGCGTGGCTTGAGCATAGGCATGCAGCTCCATATAGCTATTATAGTAAGCTTCATAGTCAGCTTCAATAGGCTTGTGCTAATGTGTGTGCGTGTGTGTGTGTAAAGGCAAAGCAAATTGAAACGGAAACGGAAATGAAAAGAAAATCATAGTAAAACAGAAAAGAAAAGCAGAAAACAAAGTCCCAGCCAAGAAAAGTGCACACACCTGCTGTGAAGGATGTTGCTGTAGTTGCTGCTGCTGCTGCATTTGCTGCTGCTGCTGCTGCATTTGCTGCTGCTGCTGCTGCATTTGCTGCTGCATTTGCTGCTGCTGCTGCTGCTGCTGCTGCTGCTGCTGCTGCTGCAGTTGCTGTTGCTGCTGCAGTTGCTGCTGTTGCTGTTGCATGCGGCGCAGCGCAACGGGCGAGGCGGGCTGATGCTGCCGCATGGCTGCCAGAGCACGCACCGTCTCCGACACCTTGAGCGCTGAGCTGGGCATGGACGGCGTAGGTGTAGGCGACGTGGAGGTGTAGGCCTCCAGCAGGTAGGCGGGCGGCGGTGGCAAGTGCTCGCACGAGTTGTTGCTGTGCTGTTGCTGTTGCAGTTGCAGTTGCAGCTGCATTAACGCATAATATCGCAAACGAAATCATAAGTGAGAAATGAAAATCGAACTGAAGCCTTAAAGGAAACGAAAGCACGATCGATCACGCGCACTAAGCTTAACTTAAGGCTTAAGGCTTAAGACTTAACTTAATCGCAATTCATTATAAAATATGCCCTTTAATTGTTCTTTACTTACCCCATTATTGGGACTGGGCGTCACCGACGAGCTGCGTCGCACTGGCGGCGGTGGCTTCGCCTGGTTAATGGAAGAACGACGTGCGATGCGCGTGGAGCCACCTCCTCCTCCTCCTGCTACTCCTCCGACTCCTCCTGTGAAATTATTAAATACATGTTACTTGATATATATTTTAAATATATTGCTTAGTTAATACGAGAGTTAGGCACAGTGAGAGACCACAAGACACACCACATAAGAAGACTAGTTCGAAAATTAAGTCGAATGTTAGATACACTTTTAATAGGTTTCAATTTCTAAGCTTTGGCCAAAATGAATTTCCACTTTCGATGCATGAAAACCGGCTAAACACCAGACATATAAAATGACGAGTACAAGTATTATATACAATCCCCTCGATAGTTGCGATAGTTACGATATTTTCCATATATATATATTAGTGTTAAGCAGTGTTGCAATTAGTCGCAGTAACGTGCAGTTGTGTGTGTATATGAGTTGTATATATATATCAGGGTTGCAAACCTAACAAAAGAGTTCGAAGTTCGAGCCTTTGGTTGCGAGCGGTTCGAACCCCAAAGATTCGTTTCATGCATGTTTGATTCAGGTTTTAGCTGCTTTTCAATTCAAGTAAGCGGGCGATTCGAACCCTTTTGTAGCCTTGATATATATAAAAGTGTGTGTAAATATGGTGCTGTGAGTGATAAAGAGTGGGGGCGGGGGGATTAACGACTTCCAAAGCCAGTTTAAGGACAACATTAAAAGATTAGAAACAACAAAAACGATGGAACAAATAACCAAAGCCATTAGAAGTAATGAGAAAAGCCGCAGCTAAGAAATCAAGTTCATGGTTAAATCGTAAAGAACTGAAAAAAAAACTGGAAAATAAATATTAAATCCAAAACGAACCCGACAACGATGCCGGCCTGGGCGTTATGCATGGCTTGACACTAGCATGGGTAGGTGGAGGATTGGCATTGACAGTGGAGCACGCATATGAATTGGGCAATTGTGGTGCGGGTTTGGCGGGCACATTGGGCGGCTGAGGTGGCGCTGCTGCTGCTGCTGACGACGATGATGATGCAGATAATGATGATGATGATGATGATAATGGCAATGACAATTTGGATCCAGGTGAGGTTGTTGATGATAATGTTGATGTTGCTGTTGCTGTGTTGGGCGTTTTGTATGGCGCATGATTAGATGTTGCTGCTGTTTGGTTTGGCATTCTATGATTGGATGCGGATGCAATAACGGCAGGTATATTAGTGACATTACAGTTTGCTGTTGTTGTTGTTTGGGGCGACTGTGGTGAGTGTGCTTGTTGTTGCTGCTGCTGCTGCAATTGCTGCTGCACTTTTAGTTTCTGCTTGCGTATTTTGGCATCTAAGTCAGCCTTAAAGTCAAACTTTCTGGGTATCACTGGCTTGCTGCTGTTGCTGCTGCTGTTGCCCGGCTCAGGCACGGGCCCATTGTATATGCTGAGGCTAATCGGCTTCGGCGGCAGCTTGCGCCGCACCGCACCAGCAACTGTTGCTGTTGCATCGCTCGCTAATTGCTGCTGCACTGGCTGCACTGGCTGCTGCTGCTGTTCTGGACTAACCCTAAGCTTTTCCGTACCTCTGTGCGGACTGGCGCGTCCGAGCAGCTGTAGCTGCTGCTCGCTGGAGGCGCGAAACGAGGAGAGTCGCTGCTTGGCGGGCGCCACAGTTGCCGTTGCCATTGCCGCAGGTGGCTTCTGTGCTCCCGCCGAGCTGCCATCGTCGTCGGGCGATTCGGGCGAGGTTCCGGCCAGATTGTCCGGCAGCTGGTGCAGTTCACGCATCTCGTGCAGCTGCAGCTGCTGCGGATCTTTGGTGCGCAACAGCACAATTTCCGAATTCTGTTTAACGAACTCAATGTCCGGCGTATTGGGTATCTGATGGTCGTAGATGACAACCACAGCGCTGCCGTCATCGCTGCACGTGTCCACATAGGCGTGCCGCGGCTGGCCCATGCACACGCTATCCGAGGCCGAGGTCAGCGAGACGCTGTCGCTGGCATATTGCTGGCTGCGACCATTCTCCGGCTGTTCCTCTCGATTGGCAAAGTGCACAAATGTCGGATTCTCATAGCCGCCGGCCAATATGCCGCCGGTCAGCGAACTCGTCTCGCTCACATAACAGCGACTCAGCTCCGAATCGCTGGCATTCAATTGCCGATGCCGCCGTTGCCCATCGATGCCGCCCAGCTCCTCGGATGTGGTGTCCGAGATGTCTGTGCCGCAGCCGCTCGAATTTGTTTGATTGCTGATCGCACAGCAATCGATGTTGTTGCTGTTGCTGGGCAACAACAGCAGATCGTTGCTGTTGTTGTTCTCGTTGCTGCTGTTGCTGCTGCTCGAGCCGCTGTTGTTGCTGTTGTTATTGTTGCTGTTGTTGCTTCTGTTGTTGTTGTTGTTGCTGCTGTTGTTGCTGTTGATGTTGCTGCTGTGCTGCTTGCCCTTGCCCTCATCGATCTCACGTTGAAAGGAGTCTAATTCGCCAATTAAATTATTTAATGCTTGTATCGAATCTTCGAAAGATTTGTCTAAATATTCAATTTGTTCAGGTTGTTGTTGGAGTCGTTGTGGTGGTTGTTGTTGTTGTTGTTGTGTGGTGCAATATTTTTTTTACAAGTGTACAAAAAAAAAACGCGAATTTTAACGAGTGTTTTTTTTTTGGTGCGTGTGTGTGTGTGTGTGTGTGTAGGAGACACAGCAAAAACAAAAGAGAAATTGGGGAAAAAACAAAAACAGAAAAAGAAAACATTTTAAATATGTTAAATCAAGAAACTCTTAAATAAACAAGGGCGCGGGCAAAAAGGGGGACGGGACTTAAACAAGTATTGGGCATAGATTCGGGATTCGGATTTCAGAACTGCTTGAACTAGAGCATCGCATCGAGTCAATTGAAGTGCGTTTCGAATACTCGATCAACTATTTGCAACTCGAACTTGTTCGAAACTCGTTTCGGTTCGAGTCGGTTGTGTTCGAGCTCAAACATGTTTGAACTCAAACATGTTCGAGTCTGTTGGTTTTCGGTTTAATCGATTGAGTATTCGACTTTAATGCAAATCAATCAACCAATGCAGGGCTCTAGCTTCAACTGTGAGCTGTGTGTGTATGCGTGTGTGTGTGCAGCGGCTGTGACTTACCCATTTCCTGTTGCTCCACCGCGCGCAGCTCCTCGGAACGTCGGCCACTTGAGGCAGCTGACGGCACAGGCACAGGCACAGGCGCTGGTGCAGCGGCAGCGGCTGCCTGCTTCTCAAACATGGAGGCCTTCTGCAGAACCGAGGCACGCGAACGTTCATCGGTATCGCCAGAATCATGGACATCATGGACAACATCGACAACAGCTGCAGCTGGCGGCGATGGTTCGGTGATCTTGAGCACTTCGCTGGCGGAGGCGGGCGGCGTCGGTGAGCTGATCTGATAGACAAAGCCGAGGCCGCTGGCAATGCTGCCGTTGCTGGGTGTACCTGCGGCAGTGGACGTGGGTGAGTTGGTTAACAGTGGTGAATAGTGATTCTGTGGCGTTGAACAGCCGCTGGATGGTGTTGTGGTGCTTGTATTGGTATTAGTGTGACCACCACCAGCTGTGCCCACAAGCGAGGCAGCAACAGCCGAGTCAATGGATGGATGCGAGTGCAACGAGGAGGCCGTGTTCGAGGACACCGACGAGGATATGGAATGGGATCGTGTGCCTAGTCCAGTTGGCTGATGATTCATGATCTGCGATTGATGCTGCAACAGTTGCTGCTGTAGCGAGCCAGTCGACGAGTCATTCGAGTGCTGCGAACATATCGAATCGATGCTGCTCTGTTGCTGCAGCAAAGGTGTTGCTGCCTTTTGTTGCTGCTGCTGCTGTGATTGCTGCTGTGATTGCTGTTGCTGCTGCTGGTTGGTTAGTTTCATAGCCGCCAGTTCGGACATATTAACATAGGTGGGCGTGGTTTGTTGCTGCTGTTGCTGCTGCTGCTGTGCATGATGTGCGGCGGACAGCTCTGTGTGACATTAACATGAACGTTGGACAAAGCATGCGCATGGTGTTTGGTGTTGGGAGAGAGAGCAGCACAGTAACAAGTACATGGATTGATTAGTAAAAACGCAATGGATTAGGCATTAAGGCGTTCACACAAGGACACAACATAAAACGAATAAATTAAATATAGTTGCCTTCGGCGTGCCGAAGATTAAATACCCATGCAGACAATTGTGATATTATTATTACTAAGCTTGCGAAATGCGTGTTCGAATACTCGATCAACTATTTACGTCGAACGAGTCAGCACTGAAAATGTTTGACTCGAACTGTTCGACCATTTCGGTTGTATTCGAACTCAAACGGGGTTCGATCTCTAGATTTTGTGCTTGGTGTTGACTTTTTAGTTGACTATTCAAATTAACAATTGCCCAAATGATTGGATCGCTTAGATAACTCATTTAGCGAGAACAACTACGGATCTCTATATTCTATAGCTTTATAAATAGAAACAGACAAACATACGGACATGGCTGTATGGAAGATTTCTTAATACATATACACAATCAATTGTCGCAAATCTCATCAGCTAGGGTATTAAAAGAAGTAGTGCAAATTGTAATTCCCCTTCGCGTACCTTTCGTGATATGAGCCGGAATCGGTGAGGGGCACTGGCGCTGCAGCAAATTCTGTCCACTGTTCTGGCGATGATTGCTCTGCGCCGACAGCGGGCGTTCCAGCGACGAGCAGCGCTGCAAATGTTGAACGAAAGGGGCATTAGCAAGGATCTATATATACATGAGACTATCAAAGATGAGGCGTTTAGAGACGGTAACTGTTGGTGAGCGGTTGAGCGCGGGCAGGGATTAGCGCATGCAAATGAGAGCGCAATGGTTGTCTACTCTCTGCTGCCACTTACCACATGTGCCGGCTTCTATATAGAGTTGTGCCACGCCAAACGATAACAAGAAACAACTTAAAGACTAGAGATTCGACAAAAGGAAACCTTTCAGCCAATACTTACAACTGGCAACGGCGGACGACTAAGCGAGGCGGCTGGCGATTTCTGTGGAGCCGGCGTGGTCTGGCCCGAGGCGGAGGAGCTGCTGTTGGGCACAGCGGGAGCAGTAGGAGCAGCGGGAGCAGGAGCTATGAGGCTGCCGCTGCTGCTGGACTCGTGTATGGTCTCGGGATTCTGGAACGTGTAAACAGTTAGCGGCGGACGCTGATGGCCCTTCTCGTAGGTTGTGGAAATCGTGTGCGGACGATCGGCAGTCGGCGGCAGCGTGTCCACAACGTCCTGGGAATGTGGCGGCCAAGTGGAGACGGCGTGCGTCTGATTTGTCGCAGTCGACGCCTATGCAAAATAGTCGCAATTAGTAAGTCAAATGTCGAACAGTTAAAAACAAAATCACATTAAGTAAACTGAATTAAATTAAATTAAATAAAATGAAAACCTGTGTTGTTAGCGCTGGCGATGAGCAAAAGCCACTATCACTGGATTCACCAGGTTTCAAGCGAATTGCGGGCGTTACAAACTAAAAAACAAAAAAAAAAAATAAAGAACACAAATGACAAAAATGATGAGAACCCAAAGTAAACACAATGACAACAGGCGACAGGCATACAAAAATATATATAATTACAAATTTATAAATTTAAACAATTGGTCACTCGATTTGTTAATTTGAGCACAGCTTTAAATGCGCGACAAAATTATTATTAATTCATTGAGATTTGAATGAGATATTTGAGAGAAAGGCTCTTAATATAATTGCTAACAATTAGTTACAGATTAGCTAATCACAATTAAGTTAGCGACATGCTTTGATAATGCGCAAGATTAATTAAGATATCTGACACTGAGTTTAACAAACAAAATTGTTTCGCAATTATGAAAGTTACAATAATAAACTAAGAGTACGCTGTGTATATAAACATTAAAGAGCGCTGGTTCAAATCCTCAAATCAACTTGTTAGTTATATATATATATATATATATATATATGTCCTCTACTTTAAATAACAATTGATATATACATAATAATTATATACAATCAATTGCTATCAATTTTTAAGAGCTCCGAAATAAAGTGACCAATTGTTTAGAAGCCAATTTTGTTGCATAGTGTAGTCGTTCGAGCGGTTTCGCACCTGCGACAGCGAGCGCTGATAGTGATGATGACCCGGCGAGTTGCTGGAGCCGCTGCTGTTCATGCTGCTGATGGAGCAGACGGAGCTCTTGCGTGAGCCCAGCGAATTGGAGCAGCCGCCACCCTGGGAGCCAGATCCGCCGCCGGGTGACTCGGGATATAGATTAATGCTGGCCTTGGCGTCGTGTATGAGCTCCTCCGAGGCCTGCGGCAGCACGCTCGGCTCCTTGGTGACCAGTGCAATGGACTCCATGGCCTCCTAAAAACGGGCACAAGTGTTAAAAAGTTGGCATAGACTCTTAACGGATTTCGCACTCACCTGCAGATGGCCCAGCTCGGAGATGACCTCGCACTCCTCGTGCACCACCGGCTGCAGCATGTGCACAAAGCTGCAGAAGCGCAGCCGTTCCTCGACCATGGCGGCACGCAGCGATTTCTTCTCCACCTCCTCGAGCTCGGCGCGACGCAGCGTCACATCCTGCATGTGCGAGTCCATCAACGATTGCAGGCTGTTGTCGGTTTGGCCCTTGCGGGCCTTCTTCTGCAGCCGCAACGTGTCGCTGGAGCGCTTTTTAAGCTCGCTGCGGCAACGCTTGTACTCTTTGGCATGATCCTTGTCAATGGTGGCCACCGTGCGTTTCCAGTCCTCGATCTTATCCTGCAGCGGCTGCACCAAACAATCCATAATGGCGCTCGTGAACGTCTTCAAGCGCGTCTCGACCGCCTTGTGGCGCAGACAGACGCGCGTCAAAGCGGTGCCAATCTCCTTCGATGCACCTGTACAGTGGCAGAAAGAGAGGAGACACGTTCAATTACATGATGAGCTGAGCTTAACTGAGCTGAGCGGAAATGTTAGTTATTGTAGCTGTCGTGTCCATTCCCATTCCCATACCGATTACCCATTTGGCTGTCTGGCTGTCTGGGGCGTTGCATGCCGCACGGCATTCGGCGGAGAAGTCGGTCAACAACCGGTCTCGTGTGTGTGCCCATTATGCCAGCTACTGCTACGCTTTCGGCAGGCAGGCAGGCAGGCAGCTGCCTATCAGCTGCGTCTGACATGAGCATCTGGCCAATAATCTATGCACGCTCCTCCAACTATTCTTCAAGCTGTGCCAAATTTAATTATCGCAGCCAAAGATGTCGGTCTATGCCCCATTATCCTATTGATTTCTGCTCGCTTTCCCATTAGCCCAAGTCCAAGTACTCCATCAAAATGAAACTAAGGCAAACTCATAAGGCATTTTATGGACGCTCCCAAATCCAAGTTAATTGAATCAAGAGCATAAATCGCGGCTGACCGACTAACAGATACCCAACTCGTCCTGATTCACAATTTATATATACAGAAGAGTTTGTCCTGACTGACTGATTGACGGCAGGTCGCTGGTTCAGATCCAGTTGAAATTTAGGCTTATTATATTTTTCAACTATTTTGTTATTGCAATAACAAATGTACTCTGCCTGCGCGACTAGTATATATCCCACATATACATATACATAGGGTATACAAAAGATACCAAATAAAATAAATTTGATGCCAGAATCGCCTCCCACTCAGCAATCCCGTCAAGTCAACCACCCCCGCAGTGCATATTATTGAGTTTCACCCTCGTGTGATGGCCGCCTCTTTTTTTTTTTGTCTGGGTGCCATTAAGTCCGCAAAGGACAATTGACACTTGTCCTGGCTGTGCTTGACCGGGCACAGACGAACCCAATAGGCAGCGTACTTAGCCAAGTAACCACTAAAACTAATGAAACCATTTAGCAAGTGCTAAGTACACCTTCAGACACCCAAAAGGGTGGCCAATGCGGAGTCCTCTTTTCATGGCTGGACGGATGGATAGATGTGTGGGTGGTTGGGTACGACGGGGCGTATGAGGCTACATGTGCATGTTGGACATGCAGGAGGGAAAGTGCAAGCCGACTGGATCAATATATGCAAATGAGGCAAGAGATACACAGTGGGGATAAGGGAGAGAAAGAGAGAGAGAAAGAGAGCGAGAGAGAGTGAAGGCAGACAAGAGATATATAATGAATCGCATTGGGAATTGCGAGCAAAAATATGCATATTTAATATAATTTTGAATGCATATTGTATTCAACTACAATTACGCTACAATTCACAAACAGTTCAATCAAGAGATTTTATCATATAATTAAATCTTCAATATAATTATGAGAAATATAAAAATTCAAATATTTATTATAACTATTGAAAAGAATTCATTACAAAAGCAATGCGAACGAGCACAGCAAGAAAAGCGTGGAAAAAACGCTGGAAAAGGGGAATAATAAATGTACTACAGTGGACACTCGTAGGCATGAACTTTTGGAAACTAGAATTGCGCTTAGGCTAGGATTGGGCAGCATAAATATTTGATTTGAGGCACAGAGCAAAAACACAAATCCAAAATGTTTACAAATGAGATTGAGATCTAAAATACTTAACGAGCGCTCACTGTACTTACTTAGAGATAAGAGAGCACTTATTTGTTTTCTGAGGGAGTTGGGGAAATAACAAAACCCTTGTAATAAGATTCTCAGCTCTTTACACAAACTGTCCCATCTTATCTTATAAAGAAAATAAATTTCTAAAGTTTTATATCAATTAATTAATTAAATGTTCTTATTTCCCTAAAAATTCCTTCTCCCTATCGCCAAAAGTGAGCGATAGATGGCGCTGCTTGTTCTATACATATAAAAAGCCACCCCGGAAAAGCCATTTCAGTTGAGTATTGCGATTCCGATTATCATCGCAACTAACTGTAACTAACGAAATGTCAACTTCAACTACTTGAATGCCATCTAAATACATGTTGTCTGTGGTCTTTGATCTCAGTTCAAGTTGCCTGTTCTATTACTGCCCACAGTAAAGACAGAGCAGAGTGTAGCAGTAGTAGAAATCAAAGCAAATATCCAAGTGGCTGTCGCTTCCCGTTCCCGATTGCTGTCGTTGTTGTTGTGGCCGCCCAGGTGAGCAGCATTGCATAATCAGAGCTCGGAGCGTGAAGCGCCCATCGAGAGGCAGCCAATAAATAAATACAAAAATAGCAAAACTGAAAATGCGTGAGCACCGGCCAGACCCAAAGCAGACCCCAAGTACAGAGGAATACCAGAACGGGCGTGAAATCAGATCGATGACCGACGTTGACGTCGTTGTCGCCGTCGACTCTCGCCAATACGCATAAATAATAGATGGAAGTACTCAATGTACCCAATGTACCTAATGTACATATCGGGGGCCAGCCAAAGAGATCGTTGGGCTGGGTTAGGCGCGGGGCAAACCAAAATTATGGGCATTTATGGTCAGGTTTTTATGTTTACGACTTTTGAACTTACCTCTGGAATTGGTGGCCGCATCGGCGATCTTTTGGAAGGCATCCAAATAGGCGGCAATTGCCTGAATCGCAGCGCTAAAAACATAGAAGAAAAGCAAACAAAGCCACACACAGATTATATAGATGTAACAACTGAGAGTGCCTAGGTCAACGACTAGCAAATACCCTGTAAACGGATTTATACGGGAAAAATGCATTTTTAATAACTTATGTGATTTTTGCCCGTAGATTGTTTTTAATTGACCAAAAATCAAGGCTTCTATAATCTGTAATACACTAAACTGAAAATCGATATTTATCGATAGGTCTAACTATATTTATCGATACAATCAACCGATATTTATCGATATTATGCACATAGTTATCGATAATTTGTAATTAAACTTGATCAGCCTATGATAGATATACTATAACTAAAAAATCGATATTTATCGATACAATCAATCGATACTTATCGATGTTATGCACATAGTTATCGATGATTTGTAATTAAACTTGATCAGCCTATGATAGATATACTATAACTAAAATCGATATTTATCGATACAATCAATCGATACTTATCGATGTTAGGGACATAATTATCGATCATTTGCAGTAAAACTTAATCAAGTCCAAATTATTGCCGTATCCATTAGCACAAATTAGCTACTTCTGTCCGTCACATTCACATGCTCAACTACAATATACCCCTTTTGACTCAGTTGCAATAAATTCTAGGGTATACAAAGAGAAAAACATGCAAAAGTAATGGCTGAAAAGATGCCATTGATTATAGTGCGGCAGCTACAAATCTAATAAACTTTGCAACAAACTTTATTGGCCGTGGGCGACATTTCAATTGAAAATGGCAGAGGCAGGCAGGCCAGACGACAGTCGGACAGACAGACAGACAGACAGTCGGACGGACAGACAGTCCAAAGAGCGACTGCACCCAAGCAGCTGATGAAGATGAAGCTGAAGATGCTGGGCCGGTCGTGTCGGATCTGGTCTGGCCAGGGACTTGGTCGGGCAACGGTGCGTATGTGTGTCAAGCGCATTGGGCAAAGCACTTGGCGCAGAATTTCTTTTAGCGCTGCCAAAGACAACAGACTCTTGAGCATGATTAATGCAAGTTGTATGCTATATACATAAGCTAAATATGTTTATATAGTATTGCATATGCCAGACACTGCCCCGCTGGCGTCACAAATTGGGGCCAAGTCTGAGCGTTAAAGAAAACACAAAGCAAAACTATAAACAAAACGCGAAACCAGGCAAATGGCCAAAAAAAATATAAAAAATAGAAGCAAAAAAACAGATAATCATAGACTGTGAGAGGAAATGCCTGGCATAAAAACCCAAACAATTTACGAGTACTTTCAAATAGTTCAAAATTTTGTTTATGCATACGATTTGTTATTTGTTTGTATTCTACTTCTTTCGCCTTTTCGCCGTGTTTGCAAAGTTTCGCAATCGTTTCACATGTGGAAATTGGTTTTTAACCTGACCCCCCACAAATTTCCTCGGGCAACTTACCGCAGGCACGTGTGCAGCTTACTCGCCTTGGCCACAAAGTCCTCCCACAGCGGCGATGTGTTCTGCAAAGAAAAAAAGGGATAAAATATATAAGGTTAAAAAAATATTGAACTAAATCGAGTTGGGATTTGTATTTAAACAGCCAGAGGCTACAGAATTCAATTGAAGCTCGGCAAAAATGCCTTTTAGTATGCAATAAACAGCTGATCAAAGGCAAATGACTCTTTTTTTTTTATTGGACAACCCAAATATCGACTTCAAATGAAAGCCAAATCACACACACGGACAGGCACACACATACATGACAAATTGTGCGTACGTGTGGGTCAACCGTAAATAGAAAAAGGTTGCCAGCAAAGTTTACCACGGCTAGCCGACTATTAGATACCTTGCATACATAAAGCAACTCTTTCTGGTATTTATTATTAAAATTTATATATGCAATTAAAGAAACTATAATAACAAATTTGGCGTAGCTAACTCTTATGCTCTACGAGCTATGCTTAAAAAACCAAGTCAGTAAATCGATATTTATCGATATTTATCGATATTATGAAAATAGGAGAAGATATCGAAACAAAAGGAAGAATTCGTACTGCGTATCTTAAAGGAAAATATGTCTATATATCAAATTTCAAGGCTTTAGCTAATACGGAAAGTCAAGCATACAGAACTAGCTAGCTTATTGTCCTGATCAGGAATACATATATACTTTATAAGGCTGGAAATGCTTCTTACTTCCACCCGTTACACACATTTGCACACAAACAATATACCCTTTTGTCCCCTTTAAATGGGCGCAGGGTATAAAAAAAGGCAACTGGCTACAACAAGAGGAATTTGTTTGGAATAATACAATATGTTTTATAGGCTCAAATTTGATTGGCCATGTAATATGTCAACTATCTAACAATTTGGCTCAAATTATAAGTTAATTCAATCAGATTATCATTTGCAACTTTGATAAAGTTAAAGTCAACAAAAATGTTGCCGCATGAGTACATTTACAAGATTAAAGACATTTCCCTAATATTTTTTATCCCGCTACGAAATTTTCTCAACGTGGCTTGGCAAACTTTGCGGCTTTTTTTTTGCTGCTGCTGCCAATTAGCTTGAAAATTTTCTGGATGCGAATTTGGTTTTGTGAAAAGTTTTGTGCATCAGCGAAAATACATTAAAAAGTTATTGACATGAAAAATGTTTGCATGTTCTTTTTTGTTTATCAAACTGCGACTAAAGTTCATGTTGTGTTTTAATCTGATTGCGACTTTTGTTGTCTGTGCATTTCATTAAATCTGATCAAAAATATGTTCGAGCCAACAATTTAACACAATAAAACTGATCAACTCAATTGGCTGCGTTTTGCGCTGTTATCAATCAGCGCAAAATTTAAATTAAAAACTCAATTGAAGCAAAGTTGCAAATAGCAAACGAATTGTTAAAAATATGTGAATTCTTTTTATCAGGAATTGACATAAAGTATCTATAGGATAGATAAAATTCTACTTGTATGCTTTATGAGAAACTAGATGGGAAATTTCGACATAGGTCAATATAGGATATATGAGGGTAACATTTTCACATGAATTTCGACCAAAAATAATGTTGCCAGATTTAGATGCCAAGTTGATTAAAAGGACAAACTATGAACAGAGTAGCTCTCTTATGAAAATCGGTTGAATTTTGACCGAGTTATGGGGTGGGAAATTTTGACCTATGTCTATGTAGGATATTTTAGGGTACCATTATCCCATGAATTTCGACCAAAAATAATGTTGCCAGTTTTAGATGCCAAGTTGATTAAAAGGCCAAACTATGAACAAAAAGCCAAACCTCGTGAAAATCTGATGAGATTTGGTCGAGTTATGGGGTTGGGAAATTTTGACCTATGTCTATATAGGATATATGAGGGTAACATTATCACATGAATTTCGACCAAAAATAATGTTGCCAGATTTAGATGCCAAGTTGATTAAAAGACCAAACTATGAACAGAGAGCTAAACCTTATTAAAATCGGTTGAGTTTTGACCGAGTTATGGGGTTGGGAAATTTCGACCTATGTCTATATCCTATATGAGGGTTCCTTTTTGTCATGAATTTCGACCAAAAATAATGCTGCCAGATTTAGATGCCAAGTTGATTAAAAGGCCAAACTATGAACAAAAAGCCAAACCTCGTGAAAATCGGATGAGATTTGGCCGAGTTATGGGTTTGGGAAATTTTGACCTATGTCTATATAGGATATATGAGGGTAACATTTTCACATGAATTTCGACCAAAAATAATGTTGCCAGATTTAGACGCCAAGTTGATTAAAAGACCAAACTATGAACAGAGAGCTAAACCTTATGAAAATCGGTTGAGTTTTGACCGAGTTATGGGGTTGGGAAATTTCGACCTATGTCTATATCCTATATGAGGGTTCCTTTTTGTCATGAATTTCGACCAAAAATAATGCTGCCAGATTTAGATGCCAAGTTGATTAAAAGGCCAAACTATGAACAAAAAGCCAAACCTTATGAAAATCGGTTGAGTTTTGACCGAGTTATGGGGCTGGGAAATTTCGACAAAGATCTATGTAGGATATTTAAGGGTATAATTTTCACATGAATTTTGACCAAAAATAATGCTGCCAGATTTAGATGCCAAGTTGATTAAAAGGCCAAACTATGAACAAAAAGCCAAACCTCGTGAAAATCTGATGAGATTTGGCCGAGTTATGGGGTTGGGAAATTTTGACCTGTCTATATAGGATATATGAGGGTAACATTTTCACATGAATTTCGACCAAAAATAATGTTGCCAGATTTAGATGCCAAGTTTATTAAAAGACCAAACTATGAACAGAGAGCTAAACCTTATGAAAATCGGTTGAGTTTTGACCGAGTTATGGGGTTGGGAAATTTCGACCTATGTCTATATCCTATATGATGGTTCCTTTTTGTCATGAATTTCGACCAAAAATAATGCTGCCAGATTTAGATGCCAAGTTGATTAAAAGGCCAAACTATGAACAAAAAACCAAACCTTATGAAAATCGGTTGAGTTTTGACCGAGTTATGGGGTTGGGAAATTTCGACCTATGTCTATATCCTTTTTGTCATGAATTTCGACCAAAAATAATGCTGCCAGATTTAGATGCCAAGTTGATTAAAAGGCCAAACTATGAACAAAAAGCCAAACCTCTTGAAAATCTGATGAGATTTGGCCGAGTTATGGGGTTGGGAAATTTTGACCTATGTCTATATCCTATATGAGGGTTCCTTTTTGTCATGAATTTCGACCAAAAATAATGCTGCCCGATTTAGATGCCAAGTTGATTAAAAGGCCAAACTATGAACAAAAAGCCAAACCTTATGAAAATCGGTTGAGTTTTGACCGAGTTATGGGGTTGGGAAATTTCGACAAAGATCTATGTAGGATATTTAAGGGTATAATTTTCACATGAATTTTGACCAAAAATAATGCTGCCAGATTTAGATGCCAAGTTGATTAAAAGGCCAAACTATGAACAAAAAGCCAAACCTCGTGAAAATCTGATGAGATTTGGCCGAGTTATGGGGTTGGGAAATTTTGACCTGTCTATATAGGATATATGAGGGTAACATTTTCACATGAATTTCGACCAAAAATAATGTTGCCAGATTTAGATGCCAAGTTTATTAAAAGACCAAACTATGAACAGAGAGCTAAACCTTATGAAAATCGGTTGAGTTTTGACCGAGTTATGGGGTTGGGAAATTTCGACCTATGTCTATATCCTATATGATGGTTCCTTTTTGTCATGAATTTCGACCAAAAATAATGCTGCCAGATTTAGATGCCAAGTTGATTAAAAGGCCAAACTATGAACAAAAAACCAAACCTTATGAAAATCGGTTGAGTTTTGACCGAGTTATGGGGTTGGGAAATTTCGACCTATGTCTATATCCTTTTTGTCATGAATTTCGACCAAAAATAATGCTGCCAGATTTAGATGCCAAGTTGATTAAAAGGCCAAACTATGAACAAAAAGCCAAACCTCTTGAAAATCTGATGAGATTTGGCCGAGTTATGGGGTTGGGAAATTTTGACCTATGTCTATATCCTATATGAGGGTTCCTTTTTGTCATGAATTTCGACCAAAAATAATGCTGCCCGATTTAGATGCCAAGTTGATTAAAAGGCCAAACTATGAACAAAAAGCCAAACCTTATGAAAATCGGTTGAGTTTTGACCGAGTTATGGGGTTGGGAAATTTCGACAAAGGTCTATGTAAGATATTTAAGGGCATAATTTTCACATGAATTTTGACCAAAAATAATGTTGCCAGATTTAGATGCCAAGTTGATTAAAAGGCCAAACTATGAACAAAAAGCCAAGCCTTATGAAAATCGGAGGAGATTTGACCGAGTTATGGGGGTGGGAAATTTCGACCTATGTCTATATGGGATATATGAGGGCACCATTTTGACATGAATTTCGACGAAAAATAATGTTGCCAGATTTAGATGCCAAATTGATCTAGAGGCCAAAACATGACCAAAAAACCAATCCTCGTGAAAATTGGATAAGATTCGGCCGAGTTATGGGGTTGGGAAATTTTAACCTATGTCTATGTAGGATATTTTAGGGTACCATTATCCCATGAATTTCGACCAAAAATAAGGCTCCCAGATTTAGATGCCAAATTGATCTGAGGCCAAGCCAGTAAAAACCAGCCAAACCTAATGAAAATCGGTTGAGTTTTGACCGAGTTATGGGGTTGGGAAATTTTGACTCATGTCGATATAAGATAAAAGCGGGTATTCCTTGGCCTTGCCCGTGGCACGTTTAACTTAAATTCTGTCAAAGATCTTTGAAAATGAGTTTCAAACCGATCGTATGGTAAACAAAAAAGTTTTATACAAACGTTTTTCGCCATTTTTCCACACATGCGGGTGGAATTTCCCGAATTTCATCACATAAGGTAAGTACAGTCAAAATTTCAGCTTCCTAGCTGATTGAACACCCCAATCAATCAGTCAGTCAGTCAGGAACAAACAGAGATTGTATACTTTAGTTCATTATACGCTACTTTT